GAGTCTTCATGTGATCCAAATCTTAAATGTTTCACAGAAACTCATTTCTTATTAAAATAATCTGTAGTACATGAACAAACCACACATTTCTCTGCTTCCAATATTTAAAACAGCAGTTTACCCAGGCAACCAAGAAGACACTACCAGTGGCACACAAGATACTAGTGATAGGTATGGGCCTAAATGTCATATTGCAATAGATTGTAATAATGGTTCATGTATTGCGTCTTTCATCTCTAACTTGTTTGGAACCTGAATATAAAGCACTTCCCTGCACATTTTTGACAACGTCTTATTTTGATGGATGTTGCTGAGGTCCCGTGCAGTTAATACTACACATTATATACAGGAAACTTGTTGCAAATAGTTTCCCTTTTTGTATCACAGGAAACAGTTGCTCTTTTCATAACTTCATAATGTCCCATATGTAATATTTTCCGACAAGATGAATGACATGCATGATCTTTAGAAACGCACTACACAGGTATTTTCCAAACATATTGTGGTAGTCATTCATTAATATTTCAAATCGTGGTACATACTTCAAAAGGTATAACCAGAAAAAACAAGGCCTGGGATGTTATAACCCATGTAAATATTCATAGCTTATTTCTTCAAACAAACATTCACCAAAGTTGAGATGGTGGTGGGGAATCTATTGGGAATAACTGCTATTTCAAATAATGGTAGAAATTGTGATATTTCACAATGCAGCACATGCTTAAGAGTAAGAAGTTATGGACCATCAGGCTCTTTGAAATTACAATAATGAGCGAGTAGATAATCATATGTCAGTGAATGAGTGAGTCAATGTCTGTGGATCATGTCATGTGTCAGTGAGTCATTGTCTCTGGATCATGTCATGTGTCAGTGAGTGAGTCAATGTCTGTGGATCATGTCATGTGTCAGTAAGTGGTTGCCTGAGGATCATTTCATGTGTCAGTGAGTGAGTCAATGTCTGTGGATCATGTCATGTGTCAGTGAGTGATTCAATGTCTGTTAATCATGTCTGTGTCAGTGAGTGAGTCAATGTCTGAGGATCATGTCATGTGTCAGTGAGTAAGTCAATGTCTGTGGATCATGTCATGTGTCAGTGAGTGAGTCAATGTCTGTGGATCATGTCATGTGTCAGTGAGTGGTTGCCTGAGGATTATGTCATGTGTCAGTGAGTAAGTCAATGTCTGTGGATCATGTCATGTGTCAGTGAGTAAGTCAATGTCTGTGGATCATGTCATGAGTGAGTAAGTCAATGTCTGTGGATCATGTCATGTGTCAGTGAGTGAGTCAATGTCTGTGGATCATGTCATGTGTCAGTAAGTCAATGTCTGTGGATCATGTCATGTGTCAGTGAGTAAGTCAATGTCTGTGGATCATGTCATGTGTCAGTGAGTGAGTCAATGTCTGTGGATCATGTCATGTGTCAGTAAGTCAATGTCTGTGGATCATGTCATGTGTCAGTGAGTAAGTCAATGTCTGTGGATCATGTCATGTGTCAGTGAGTGGTTGCCTGAGGATCATGTCATGTGTCAGTGAGTGAGTCAATGTCTGTGGATCATGTCATGTGTCAGTGAGTGGTTGCCTGAGGATCATGTCATGTGTCAGTGAGTGATTCAATGTCTGTGGATCATGTCATGTGTCAGTGAGTGGTTGCCTGAGGATCATGTCATGTGTCAGTGAGTGATTCAATGTCTGTGGATCATGTCATGTGTCAGTGAGTGGTTGCCTGAGGATCATGTCATGTGTCAGTGAGTGAGTCAATGTCTGTGGATCATGCCATGTGTCAGTTATTGAGTAAGTAAATGACAACAGGACATCAGATTTAAAAAAAACAGATTCCAGATAACATTAACATTTCCTACTGCTTGTGTGAGTTTGCATATTGTAATATAAAAATACCTCAAACAATGCACCATTGAAATTGTCATCACTGTTCTGTTCAGTACAGAGCAGCCTATAATGTATCACCTTTACAGACTAAATTTGTGATCTACTCTGATCAAAATATACTTTTCAATGATGACCACACCTGAACAACCATTTCTTCAATGCCCAAGTTTGTTTGTAGTCACTAAATTCCATGCAATAACAGAAGGTACCTACATCTAAAAATTCAAACTTCTGTCCTGGGGTTTGAATGACTTTTCAAACACTCTTCATACCCGTAAATACTAAATAAGATGTTTTCATTTCAAGCAATTTGCAAATCCATGCGAATCTTATACATATCATGAAGACTCCTTACAACACATATTTTGTCCTAAAATAAAACAATCTAAAGCAACAACGGACATGTGTGTTCCTTCACACCTGAAAACATGGCTCCGAGTGTGTGTGTGGTCAGGTTAGCTCCAGATTAATGTTTATTTCTGCGTAAATACTGCATTTAAACAACTCTACAACAAAGAGCAATAGGTATCTGCACCATTCATTCACTTTAATGCATGGAAATTAAGGACCTGTGAAGTAATTCCAAGATTCAATAAATAAAAAGTAAAAAAAAACTAATCTTGATTCAAACTGATTATCAGTAAAGGTCATGTTAGCTGACCTTGCCCCACACGGGTTTGTTTACACTTCAGTCCTCCATCACCCTGCGAATGCAGTGGAATAGTGTAGTCTGTTTCACAGCCCCTCAACCATATTATTTTCCCTTCCACCCACCCTTACTGTAATGCCACTGCCTCAAATGAAGCAAGGGGCGGTCGGGTAGCCTAGTGGTTAAAGCGTTCGCTCGTCACGCCGAAGACCCGGGTTCGATTCCCGACATGGGTACAATGTGTGAAGCCCATTTCCGGTGTCCCCCGCCGTGATATTGCTGGAATATTGCTAAAAGCGGGGTAAAACCATACTCACTCACTCACTCAAATGAAGCAAGTCTACACGTTCAGGAATCCTCCCATATCACTGGTGCTCCTTTTCAATTCAAATGTAGTTTTTGTTTCTATCAAAATAATAATTTTTTAGACTAAGCGTTAGTCTATGTAATAGTGATGCATGTCTATTTCTTGTCAGGTAATCAAAAGTGGCTGTGTATAACTCGGAATTCAAATCAATTCTACCCTGTGCACAAACATTGTGCAAACCCTACCACTGCTCAAAACTGAAGCAATGTGCTGAGTAGAGGTTTTGTTTAAAGCCACACTCAGCAATATTCCAGCTATATGATGGCAGTCTTTAAAATCGAGTCTGGACAAGACAATCCAGGGATTGACATCATGAGCATAGATCCACGCAATTGTGATACGATGACATGCATCAACCAAGTCAGCAAGCCTGACCACCCCGTGAACCCGGTAGTCACCTCTTACGAAAAGCATAGTCGCCTTTTATGGTTTATGCATGGGTTGCTGAAGACCTATTCTACCCCAGATCTTCACAGGTCTGATTGGTCGGTTAAAATCACGGCTGACCCTGAATTCACGGGTGATGGAGGAACAATGTTGTATACACACACATGAAGTACTGATGATGCACAACTGGGTTGGAACAGTGTTACAGATCATCAGGCCAATAACCCCTGACAATAAAACTACCAGAGAGGATTACAGCTTACACCAAAACTAGGTTCCTTAATCTCCAACAACTTCCCAAGCAATCTACTGAACATCGGAAATACAGGACATGTTTGCAGGATGCTATGTCAATTTTCATCTTCAACCTCAATTGAAATATTTTATATGATTCACATGCACACATTTTTCTCAGTTCATCGCTACATTGTATCAACAACAATCACTGAAAGCACACTAATATTGAGTTCTTATTCAACCATTGCTAAACATAAATATCTAATAGTTGTCCTTGATCATTAGGGCAAACTGGATCAAGTAGTGATGATCAGTTTTGACAATGATCACAAAATAATCTGCCCTTTGTGGAATGTAACGATGTTGCTTGGACAATCAGTAATTTCCGGGCATGGGCTTAACAAAAAGGCAGATTCTAAGACAAGACATGGATTAGGTAAACTGGGTTCAAGCTGTTTTAGAAGTAACAGCATCATTTTCTGTAAGATCTGTGGTCAGGGTGATTCAGCCGACACTGCATCAAACGACCTGGCTGATTGAAGGCAGGCTTCAGATGGTGTTAGTGGATTTTGATCAGTGACATTTACGTGCGTGAATTCCAGTTTTTTATATATGTAAAATGGTACTCAGTCGTCAATGTGGTGTGAAACATCATGGGCGAGAGTGGTGAGAATAAAGAATTGAAAAACATGTTTTTTATCTCAAAACTGTAGGGAGTCACATGGAGAGATTCTACAGCTGTCAAAATGCCCACAATTGTCCTTCTCCCCCTCCCACCCCCCCCTAAAAGCCAAAAGCTAAATATGGTCGGTGAAAGTGACATGATTGCTGAAAGTGACATAGTGACATGATTCCCTATGGGTCTGTGATTGTATCCACACGGTAATAGTATAATGAACTTACTGCAAAGGGTGAGTTGAATGAAAATGGGGTTTAATGTCGCATTCAAGATTATTGTTCTCACATAGCCACACATGTGAGTGCTTCTTTGTACTAGTTCAGATTTATGACGTTTTTTCAGCGCTAGCTCACTGAGATACAATGACGCAGTTTAACATGGATATTCCTATATCAGACACATTATACTGACTCAGAGCCAACCAGTCATTGTTTTATCCCCTTAAGGCTGTGTGAGTGAGTGAGTTTGGTTTTATGCCGCTTTTAGCAATATTCCAGCAATATCAAGGCGGGGGACACCAGAAATGGGCTTCACGCATTGTACCCATGTCGGGATTCGAACCTGGGTCTTCGGCGTGACGAGCGAACGCTTTAACCACAAGGCTACCTGACCTCCCCCTTAAGGCTGTGCACAAGGGAGGGTAACACATAGTACCATCATTAACGTCTTATAAGCGGCCAGATGCTCTTTTGCAAAGTTAAATACATTATATTTAAACATTAAAGCCATTTCCACAATCACTGACTAAATCAACCATTATATACATTTAACAACACAACAAAATTTCTACTTACGATGTGAACACCTCATGGGCTATTGCACTGAAATAGAAAACATTTTTTATAGCATATTGGTAGATAATGCATCCACACCTATGTGCATCAACATTGCATCACTAGACTAAACAGGAATAATGTTAACACCTCTTTGAACAGCACTTGAATTTGGGATTCAGATGTTTGCCTTACAAGCCAAAATCGAACCATCCCCATGCCCACCTTTTCCTGAATGCTCTACAACTGCCTTAGCTACCTTAACACCAAAGTTATAAGCACACCCAGCTTAATTACATCACATCCTTTTTAGGAAAACACGTACATTCCCAATGCTGTACATCTTTGAAACAGAGAGTCCTGCGGCTATGGTTATCTTAAAAACAAATATATTAGCACTTCCGGATTAATTACATCAATTCTGGTTTGGGAAAAACATATGCCCAAGCAGTGCAACAGAAAGTCCTATGCCTCTAGCTACCTTGATAAGAAAGCTATATGCATTTCTGGTTGCATATGACCATGTCCAAGGTTGTAAAAATGTGTTTGCAATGCAAGATATCTATAAAACAGTTTCAAAGATTTCATATAAATACTTTGTGTTGGTTCATTACATTAAGATGCAAAACTACCTACTGAATGATTTCCAGTGACCTTGATTTTCAATAAAGGTTGCTCAAAAGCTAAGCCAGCCCATGCCCCGACCTAAGGATGATCTGTACCAAATCACATTCAGCTACTCTGAACACTTCTTGAGTTATCATGAGCATAATACATTTTGGAGTGTATGACCCAGAGAATGAATTTGACATAATGTCAGTGAAAAGTATTTCAAGAGATCATAGGGCTAACCAGCATGTAAATCATGGATGATGTTCCTCGGTGAAATTCAATGTAACAATGAAAAAATAGCATATGCTTCTCATTGAAAACAGAGGGCTGTGACCTACTTCTGATCTCAAAATATAGTCATCAGTTGTCATACGGAAGTATTCAAACAGAATAACCACTACATGCATAAGACTTAAAGACTTTAGTGAAATTGGCAAACATACATTCACCTGTGACCTTGACCTTATACGTAAGTCACACAACCAATTCAGATCATGGCCCCAGGGATGACATGTACCAAATTTCACTGACATACAGTAAAACAAACTTTTCTTTGCACTCTGACCTCTAGGATGACTTTGACCCTTAGCATGATTGGTCAATGTGGCACTAAATAATTCCCGGGGCTATGAAGAAGATATACATGATATAATATCCCGGGGCTATGAAGAAGATATACATGATATAATATCCCGGGGCTATGAAGAAGATATACATGATATAATATCCCATGGATGTCCAAGCACTGTGTGGTTTCAAAACAAAAAGAGTCACCAGCATTTAAATTTAGACAAAACCTTAAAGTATATTGATGTGGTGCTGCTTAATTAGTGGAAGTAATTTGTGTAATATACTCACTCATCTGGGAAGGGGATTGGTTGTAATAAGCTGCCAAGTACATACCGCCAATCGTCATACTCAGACCTGGAAAATCATCAAAATGGAGTTACCATCATGGAACACCTGATACTGCTCCGTGGTTCATGCACAACTTCAGACACCAAATCTACCCTTTCATTGCATGATGTCTTTAAGCAAAAACTATAATTGTAATATATCTTTCAACTTTGGATAAGGATATTCTGGGTGTCAAGTTTGGGGCTGAACAAAACTGATTGTTTGGAAGTGTGGTCATACAAATAGTATCTGATAAAGCAGTGGCACTGAATCATGATTTGTTTTATTTCAAGTTAATTAAACATCAGTGCATTATTCAATAATATTATGTCCACTAGTTCTGTAACAGGAAACAAAATCTCAGTACTAAGGGTGAGAGGTATCACCAGTACATCTGTAAACTGAGGTTCATTCTTTCCATTCTGTTAATTTTTTCATGCTCGATATATATCAGGTGATTTCAAATTGGGATAACTATCATGTGTTTAATGTTGTATACTTCCCTGTCTTCGCTGCCCAGGAGCGAGTACACTGGGTCTCATGATGGCTTCATATTTAATGAGTAAACATTATGTTGAACCAGGATCTTGTTCTGTTACATTTATGAACTACTGTTTATACCTTAATGTATCAGACTACTTCTGAACAAAAAATTTAGAATTATACCATATATTGTGATACATATCGCAATATGGCCTTGTGCATTAAAAAATAGTGATGCACTTTAAACCTCTAATACTCATCCCTTGTCAATTGTTTAGTAGTATATATTTATTAACCAGCAAAGTTAACAATGGCTGCCAAATTGTTGCTTCTTAATGAATTTAAAGACCTTATCAAAGAAGATTTAAACTTAAGGCCTTATCAAGGCTTGCCAGACTGCACATGTCAAGATCCTTTCAAGCATGTGTGAACCGGTATTCCTATTTGATTTTTGAATGTGAGTTTGGTAACTACAATACTCAATTAGGTGTACCCACTGCCTCTCTGTAAGTGACAGAAATGTAAACATAACGACTATATCAATATGAACCCAATAGTAAATATTGACCATCATACACAAAGAACAGGAAACAAACGACTGAGAGGAAGTCTGCTAGATACCCGCTTAGATCTATAGATTTGGTGCCATCTTGGCCTGCCACTACATCTAGTGTTATCTATCTATATATAGCCAAGGATGTATCTAGATCTGCTCTGTTCAGACCCAAGTCTGCTGCCTATGTCAGCACAAATTCCAAACTAGAATTACAAATTTCCAATTAATGTCTTGTAGTCATAACCAATGATAACAAATGTTATGGCTCTGAAGAGGTAACATGTATTTCACTGCTTACAAGACCAATACAGAGAATCCAAAAGGATTAATCCCTAGTTTTACACTGTTGCATTGAATGCAATGTTAATACCTCCTAATTTGAGAAAATAACTTTGGCAAAAATCCCTATTTTTCCAAGTTTGCCTGTCATGGGCACTTAGTTTGGAATCCTAGATAAATCGCTGATATCAATATTATCTTTCCATATATAAGTTAATGAGTTACAATAACCTAAGCACTAAGATTGTGTCATTCTGGACAGTCGGTCCTGGATGAGAGAGGGTTGGTAGTCGAATGGGCAATTACGCTATGGGTGACATGCAAACTGTAATGTCTTATTTGCTTCTTGTCTGCAAGAGTCAAGCTTTATCTTAGTGGCATATGTCATGGTGAGACCTAGCTATCTATTGTGTTGTAAGAGATGACTAAATGGACTGGGTCTACAGACTTGATGACTTGGTTGATTGTGTTTTTACAGGAGTGAGTGAGTGAGTTGGGTATAATGCCGCTTTAACCAGTATTCCAGTTATATCACAGCTTGTCAGCTTAATGCGGGAGTAAAGCCTGAAGTGATGCAGGTCTCAGTTGTAGTGCTGTGGTGAAACCCACAAGCATGTGCATGGTTCTGACAAACATAATCAGTTGAACCGGGATACGAACCCACAATCATAGGTTTCTGGCATGCCCAAGGGACGCAACTCTGCACAGTGAATCGTGACGCCTTAGATGACTGGGCCACCCGTGACCCCTCTTTACAGGAAGCAGTGTTACAAAACACACAAATACAAAACTTGACTGTCCGAAGGTTTCTACTTACATAGTCTCAAGCATGGAGATGTAGCAGAGGAGCTTTTCTGACCAGTCATTTTCTTCAAAGATGACATCAATGTTGTTATGCATAGCACTGTAACAAACACACGATTGTTAAAAAACAGATTCATAATTTATACATTTAGAATGATGAATACATTTCAAAACATGTTTAAGCGCCATACTGTTCAATATACATTTAGAATGATGAATACATTTCAAAACATGTTTAAGCGCCATACTGTTCAAGTATATGTTTCATTAAAGTGGGTCCCCAGTATGGTGATCTCCCTTCAGTTGCTGACGATTTCTAGCCCATTTTTAAATTGTGGTGTTCATTAATACTTACTGCCTTTTAATATTCTCAACTAGTTTTAAATCAAGTCTGTGATATTCTAGTTATTCTACTGTCCTTCGTTGACAGCTTTTTATTCAGTTTAAATATATGTATCATAAATGTATCATAAATGTAATTTCTCGTCACGATATGGCTGAAATATTGCCCATGTGACGTTAAATAATAACTCACTCACTCACTCATTAAAGTGAGTGAGAGTGAGTGAGTGAGTATGGTTTTACGCCGCTTTTAGCAATATTCCAGCAATATCACGGCGGTGGACACCAGAAATGGGCTTCACACATTGTACCCATGTCGGGAATCGAACCCGGGTCTTCGGCATGACAAGCAAACGCTTTAACCACTAGGCTACCCGACCGCCCCGTTTCATTAAAGTAGGAAAATCATTACACTCATACTATAGCACTGATATGCTACTGAGATACTGCTAAAGACACCATAAAGACAACTGGAATACCAAGGCACCTCAACTCAGTGTTCCCGTTAACTGGTAATTACCAGATTTTGACCGTTAAAATTAGGCTTGGGCCAGTAATTCCTGTGACTGCCAGTCCCTGTGGACCGGCAAATAAGATATCTTGTAAATCTTTGTTGTTGAACAAAACATTGTCGATAGTCCAAAAATTATACTTTTGAATGAAGTCCGCTTGTCTGTCATTAGGGTTTTACCGGTTGTCTATTTTTAGTGCAAGGAAATAATAATCACTTAGCGTCGAGATTAAATATCTATTTGTAGTGACTTAGTCTTGAATCAAAGTGAAATATTCATGAAAAAAAGAGAGAAAATTGTGATTGAACTAAGTGTAGATCACATGTAGGTCTAAATAAGTTACTTCAGAAATGACGTCACTGAATTTGTCAGCCATGAAAGTAAACTGCATTGAAACTGATGTTAACCAGGTAATTTTCATACGATATCAATTTGTTCAAAGTGGGGACTGACAAAATTTGGGTGGGACTGGTATTTTTTAAAGTTGTCAGTCCAATGAGAAGCTAGCGGGAACACTGCAACTGAGGTGCAAAAGGGCCCAAATTAGGATTTTAAGGTACCCCAAAGCTGTAAGTTCTGCAACAGGGCTATAGAAATATAACTAAAGGCTACTATTCCTGAGATATTGCAGATGAGCTATTAAGGTAGCTATTACCAAGATAACATTGGACTGTTATAAAGGCATTGCCACATACCTACAAAGGTGCCGGTATTGTCAGGAGGCCACTATTACTGAGATACTACTTTATTGCTTATACAAGGGCCGGTCAAAAAGTTCTAAACCTAACAAACAAAACCAACAACTGTTAAAGTGTTTTTAATTTTATTTTTCAACATAATCTCCCTGCTTTTCAATGCAATTCTCATATCGATAGTGAAGCTTTTCAATTCCAGTCAGGAAGTTTTCTGAAACCATCCTGAAAAACCCATTCATGGCAGTTTTGAGGTCATTATTGTCGACACAGTGCTACTCAAATAATGTACTACTTTGACTAGTTCACATTGAGATGGCCCATTGTTGAAAGTTAGTCAGGCTTAAAACTTTTTAAACAGCCCTCGAGAGAGCTTGTAAAATATTTCTGGGACTGCTGTTGCTGTGATAATACTTGAATACTGCTAGAGAGCTACAACTGACAAGATACCACTTAAATACTGGAACAAATTCACGTAGATCGGAGGGCTAGAATAGCAAGATACTTTTGAGAAGTCACTAATGTAGTGCTAAATATCTAATGTGATACAGAGGGCTACTTTATCTAGTTGTAGCAGGGCTATACGTATTCAAATACTGCCTCAAATATGAGCAAGGCTGAACTACTACCTCACCATACTGATGCCATGCTGCTCCATGTATGCATAACAATATGTACATTTGCACACAACACACAACACATGCTCAAAGTGAGTCCACTTATTAACACAGCCAACACATCAGTGTAAATTCAATTTGCATTCTCAGCTCCCTGGGGATCATGCAACTCAAGCTGCCTGTTAGGCTGTAGAAGGTTCTACATTCATGTTACCATATCATCTGACTGGGTACCCATTCACCGGTGGGTGAACATTTGCCGAGGGAGATACCACATGATATGAAATCTGTGTTTCACTGTGGGCCTTCATTAGTGTTACCCAGGCTTGTTAACACAACATTCCTCCCAGCACTCATGAATACATATTGACACTCTGCAGTAGAGCTGGGACAATACACCAACTGTGCGATCCGATACATATCATGATACCTAGTTCACGATCCGATATGTATCACGATACTTGCATATGCTCTTATCTGTGGTGCATAAGCCATCTTTGTCATAGTCAGGCTGCTCAAATACCTGGCATACTGATGATTTACAGTTGGCAGTGTCGCAATGAATGAAAAAATTGAATAAATGAAAATATTTACTTCTTCACTACTAATTTTCACCACAATTTAGTGCTTGATGTAACAACCATTCAAGTATATTTAAGGTATGAATCGATATTTTTTACTTTGTGTGCAACTGTGATCGATAGTTGTATCGGGAAGTAAAATATCGCAATCCACCGATGCATCGGTGTATTGTCCCAACTCTATTCTGCAGTGTAGCTTCTATTTTTAACCAATGAAGACACAGCGTGCTTCCAGCAAGAGGATACCAGGGAGTGTTCGACCAATGAGTGCTCAGAACCATGAATGCTCAGACCAATGAGTACTCAGATAACACTGGCAATACTTCTCCTGCAGTATGTGCCACAGTCATGTATTCATGAGTGATGAAGGAACATGTGCAAACCCCATGAAGTACTGACGATGGCATGGGGCAGGACCAAAGTCCTAGAAACTCTCAGAAGTTGCTTTCTGAATGCAATCACCAACCCACCACTGGCAGATCCTGAGGTGGGGAGCAGGGGTTCGCACTCCCCATTTTTCAGACACCTTTCATGTTAACTACTCACTCGGCCAAGTCACTTCTTTTCACAAAACCTGGATGCACCTCTGCCCACATACTCTCAACCACGGGGAAGGTTACAGGTACTTCACTGGTACACAGGACCACATGCCACCACAAATTTTACAAGTACTTTATTGGGTGGTCTTCACTAACAACAACAATAATAATAACAACACACAAATTTCACCAACTAATGCATTTTCACAATGCCTCATTTTAATTATTGTCAATGGATCGGTTAGCACTCTTTCTCAACTGACCCATAAAGATCTATGCTTGTCGTAAGAGGCGACTAGCGGGATCGGGTGGTCAGGCTCGCTGACTTGGTTTGAAGCATGTCATCGATCCCAATTGTGTGGATCGATGCTCATGATGTCAATCACTGAATTGTCTTGTCCAGACTGGATTATTTAAAGACCGCCATCATATAGCTGGATTATTGCTGAGTGTGGCGTTAAACAACAAACATACAAACAAACAACTCTTTCTCAACTCACTGAATTTACAACATAAGCTGAAAGGCCTTACGAGCTGCTAGAAGTCTAGTCTAGTCTTATCTGGCAAACTCACTTGCTCTTCTCCTCGTACAGGTTGTAGATGGCAGCCAGGCAGACAGCAACTAGGTTTGGCAACACCCTTGGGTGCGGACATGTATGGGAGGGTCCGTGCATACTGAAATACAATATCACAATGTCAAACAGGATCGGGTGGTCAGGCTCACTGACTTGGTTGATGCATGTCACCATATCCCAATTGCATAAATTAATGCTCATGATGACAATCACAGAATTGTCTGGTCCAGATTTGATTATTTAAAGACCACCGCAATCAAGATGGAATATTGCTGAGTGTGGCATTAAACAAACAAACAAACAAATAAACAAGAAAACAGCGTTATCACTATCTTCCCTCATGGGGCACATTAGAATTTTGTTTGTTTATACAGTATAATATATATATTATATATATTATATTATATATAGTATATAATATTAACTATAGAAAACAGTCCTATAAAGCCTTAGGAAGAGACAGGCAGTTGGGCTGCTTTATGTCATCAGACAAAATGATTAAAGGTGAAATTAATACACTCTAAATGCCCCTTCTCTGGAAAACATTATTCAGTCTTGTATCTCTTAAATAAGCAAATTTCAGTAGTTTCTGAGAAAACATCCCCATTGTACACACTATGCACCAAGTAAAATGACATGGAACTAGGGACCATAACTCTGTAAACAAGTTTACACTAACAATTTTCAAACTAAGTCTTGACAAGTATATCTTTGATAAGCATGCAAACTTTCATTCATGTAACTTCTGTAGTTTCTCAGAAAACTTGCCCCTATTTCACGCAGTATGCGCAAGGTGAAAAGCATGGAACAAGGGTCATAACTATGTAAAAAAAGCATTTAGGACACCAATTTTCAAATTCATTTGAGATCATGACCAGTAACATCAGTGCGTAAACTTTCATTTCTCGGACTTAAATGGTTTTTGAGACCCGGGCGGACAGACGGAAGGACAGAAAGATTCCGTTCCTCTATCCCCTGCCTGACTTTGTGGCAGGGGATGAAAATCAAACAAACAATAATTAATTTTTAAATGGATGATAATCTTTTTTCAGGATACATAATTCATTTCTGTGTATTTAATGGCATGGAACAATTTGAAACATGTTTGAAATGAACGATACCAGGGAATGGATTCTTAGATAAAGAAACAGATAGTCTAATTTCAAGAAATGTCAGATTCATAAATTCCAAATGCTACATTGAATTCATGATGACAATGAAATATTGAATTCTTGTGAAATATTGATGTCTCTGTCACTTTACGCATCGGATGAAAAGTTATCTCAACCACGTGGGGCATGAGGATCTGTGGCGCTCTAAATGAAATGTCAGCATCAATATTCCACAATAACCCCTCTGCAGAGGGAGTATTGGTCTTGACTTAATAATTGGTCATGTTGGCAAACTAATCCCATGAGGATAAGCTAAATATAACACCGTCAGTTCCAATGGTTCTGCCAGAGGAACCTGATGGGATATGGAACCATAGTTATCAGCACCATGCACTGTGGCCATCACACAGGGCGCCTGTCGTCATGGCATCTAATCCAGTCACCCACTTGGAGGTCTTGTTGGTCAGTGCTCATAGTGAACCACTTGAACACAGCTTACCATCACTGTGAAGATGGCAAATGTCAACGGGGAGAATTAATGTCAGTAGGGCAGAAGCAGATTGGGATACAAGCAGCAGAGTGAGGTGAGGTGAGGTGAAATTGGGTTTAACATCGCGTACAAGATCATTGCAATTACATAGCGACATGCATGCATGTACGTGTGTGTTTGTGTGGCTGCTTGTACTAGTCCGGGCTGATGCCGATTTATAGTGCTAGCTCACTGAGATACCATGCTGCAGTTTAACATGAATCCCCCCTCAGACACAGTATACTGACTCCGAGCCGACCAGTCCTTGTTTTAGCCCCTTAATGCCGAGAGCCAGACAGGGTAACAACAAGTACCATCTTTTCACGTCTTTTGGTATGACATGGCCAGGGATCAAACCCCGGACCTTCCACTCTCCAGGCAGATGCTCTACCACTAGACCACAGGCGGTCAGCAGAAGTAGAACTACAGATCGGGAATAAAAGCACGAGCTTCTTCGATATAAAGGTTTCATTTTGTCCAAGCAGATACAAGCAGAAATCTTGATGAAAATGTTTCATTCTGACATTCTTAATGTCCACGCAGTTTAACCGATACCCCACTCAGACACAATGAACTGCCTCCAAGTCTATCAGTCCTTATCAAATTCCCTTAATGCTGAGTGCTAGACAGGGTATAAACAACAAGTACCATCTCTTAATGCCTTTTGGTATGATGAGGTCAGGGATGTAAACCACTGACATTCCACTCTCAGGGCAGATGTTCTATCTATGAGTGAGTGAGTGAGTGAGTTTGGTTTTACGCCGCTTTTAGCAATATTACAGCAATATCACGGCAGGGGACATCAGAAATGGGCTTCACACATTGTACCAATGTCGGGAATCGAACCCGGGTCTCCGGCGTGACGAGCGAACGCTTTAACCACTAGGCTACCCGACTGCCCCGTTCTATCTATGAGGTGGCCAGGGAATCAAACCACTGACCTTCTGCTCTCCAGACAGATGCTCTATCCACAAGACCACAGAGGCAGTCAATGCTTATGTGAACATCATTTCAGTTATATCATGACATGCCAGCTTCATGTTTTTGTTTTGTTTGTTTGTTTGTTGTTTAACGTCGTACTCAGAAATATTCCAGCTATATGACAGTGATCTGTATATAATCAACTCTGGACCAGACAATCCAGGGATTGATATCATGAGCATCGATCTATGCAATTGGGATCGATGACATCCATCCACCAATTCTGCAAGCCTGACCAACCGATCCTGTTAGTTGCCTCTAATGACAAGCATAGTCGCCTTTTATAGGGAGCATGGGTTGCTGTAGAACAATTCTAACATGGACCTTCATAGGGTAGTTGAAGATGAACCAATCACAGCCTCTTTTATAACCTATTCTACCCCGGATCTTCACGGGCCACAGCAAGTATGAGTTGCTGAAGACCTGTTCTACCCTGGATCTTCATGGGCCACAGCAAGAATGGGTTGCTGAACACCTATTCTAACCTGGATCTTCACGGGCCACAGCAAGTATGAGTTGCTGAAGACCTGTTCTACCCTGGATCTTCACAGGCCACAGCAAGTATGGGTTGCTGAACACCTATTCTAACCTGGATCTTCACGGGCCACAGCAAGTATGGGATGCTGAAGACCTATTCTACCCCAGATCTTCACGGGCCACAGCAAATATAGGTTGCTGAAGACCTATTCTACCCCAGATCTTCACGGGCCACAGCAAGTATGGGATGCTGAAGACCTATTCTACCCCAGATCTTCACAGGCCACAGCAAGTATGGGTTGCTGAACACCTATTCTACCCCGGATCTTCACAGGCCACAGCAAGTATGGGTTGCTGAACACCTATTCTACCCCGGATCTTCAGAGGCCACAGCAAGTATGGGTTGCTTAACACCTATTCTATCCCAGATCTTCACGGGCCACAGCAAGTATGGGTTGCTGAAGACCTGGGCCCACTTGCACAAAGCGATCTTAGCGCTACAACTATTGTAAGCCTATGTTAAAGTATGGGAGTTATGATCATCTTAGTGCTAAGATCGCTTTGTGCAAGTGGGCCCTGTTCTACCCCAGATCTTCACAGGCCACAGCAAGTATGGGATGCTGAAGACCTATTCTACCCCAGATCTTCACAGGCCACAGCAAGTATGGGATGCTGAAGACCTATTCTACCCCAGATCTTCACAGGCCACAGTAAGTATGGGTTGCTGAACACCTATTCTACCCCGGATCTTCACGGGCCACAGCAAGTATGGGATGCTTAACACCTATTCTATCCCAGATCTTCACGGGCCACAGCAAGTATGGGTTTAAAGAGAAGGGTCAAAATCAATGTAAATGAGGGGCAAGAATCCCCATTAGCACACCTGGCAACAAAGAGAGGGAACAGACAAGAGTTGCTGCACCCCAGACCACTGCACCATCTGTGCCCAAACAGAATGTAAGAACTGACAAGATCATTTATAATTAGCACTTCCTAGAGGAATAAACATGACCATTTCAGAATGTTTGCAATGCAATGTCGTGCACTCTACACCAGTCATTGTGAGACTTGAACTTGTTTGATAGACCAGACAACAGAGTGTATCCACTGAAACTACACAACATCCTAAAATAGTAGTTTAATGACATATCCTAGACAGGCGGGGAATGGCAGCAGAGATTCCATCAGAAACGACTCTGCTGCCATGTTAATGGTTAATTTTACTGCTTCCAGTACAGCAGTACAGAGATAGCCGATATGTTGGAGATCAATCTATCTGTAGATTCCACTTCGTATTTGCTCTGGATTTACCAAAAATAGTTGCATACTCTGAATCTCATTAAGGTAGTTTATATTGACCAAGATAGTTTGCTTTCAATGATTGCATTTTAGCAGATAAGTAATTGCACAAAGCAATGCTACAACTAATAATGATTGCAACTGGGTTTTTTTTCAAATACTGTTACAATGCATACGTGGGCTCTGGCTCTCTTCATATTTCCTGTGATGATAATTCATGCATTGCAATTTGATTTGATCACACACTATCTCAACGTTTGAAATCAAGCATGAAAATATAAAACGTCAAAGCCAGAGAATCAATTATCTGTCAAGACTGAAAGTCCACGGGTCCTTGACATACCCCCATGCTAAAAGTAAGGATTTAAGGGGTCTCAGATTCAAATGCCACAGGAGCAAATTTCAAAGACCATGAAGTCAGGCCCCCTTAATTTCAAACACTGTTGTTATAATGTTGTCGGCTTAAATAAGATGGAATAAGTGTCAAGATGGTATAAGCGAGTCCACTGATCTCACCTCCTGACGAAGTTCTGCACTACCCGTATGCCATCATTCTGACAGTTCAAGGCTTGGATATATTCCTGAACAAAAAATCGCATCTGGGGATTCTTTCCAAAATCCTGCAAAAAAAAAAAGGAACATCATTGAAATGTATGAACACATAAACAACACATTCACATAAGAAATAACAGGAACAAAATCCTTTCCAATTTGGTCTCTGCTCATAGAAGAATCCACTGTACAATTCCGACTACCGGCATATCATGAGCATGTGTTTATGAATCACTATGAAATAGTGAGATCAGGTGTTCACGAAAAGGTGACTGTATCCTGCCACACCAGTGGCACCCGTCCAGTGTTTGAAATGAGTGCCTGCTCAAAGGACTGTGGCAGGTAGATTTCGTGTCCGGCCCTTCGTTTCAAAATTGTATGGGTCCTAAATTTATTTGACATAAAAAGCTGCAGGGTTTTTGCACACATGGTCCTGAAGAGTTTAGTCAGGCCTGCAGCTTCTAAAGACTCTTGGTCTTGATGGCAGCCTGGCATTATATTTTTATTAGAACACTGCACCCGTCACAAATACATGGAATTACTTTTACAATTAATTTTCAGACTATTTTAAATTTCACCCTTATAAATACAAACATAAGCAACATAAAACATTACCATAATCACATATTTCTGCTAAAAACAGAATCCATTGTACGATTCCGACTATAAGCATGTGACTAGAAATCACTATCAAATACCAAGTTTAGCTTTCTTATCAAAACATGATTTCACGATACAAAAGATTCAATTGTGGCACAGAGAATCGTAATCATCGAAAGTGCAGTGAATTGTTCCACCCCGTGTGACCCTGCATCCTACACTTGATCCTAGAAATCACTGTTGCAGGTATTGTAAACATATGACTCAAACAAAGTTAGGGATTACTCGATTCTTTCATATTACTATAGTTAATTAGTCATGGCATAATAGTGAGTGAGTGAGTGAGTATGGTTTTATGCCGCTTTTAGCAATATTCCAGCAATATCACGGCGGGGGACACCAGAAATGGGCTTCACACATTGTACCCATTTCGGGAATCGAACCCGGGTCTTCGTCGTGACGAGCGAACGCTTTAACCAATAGGCTACCCGACCGCCCCCATGGCATAATAGATTTACTGTAGTAATATAAAAGAATTGGTTGGTCCCAAACTTCTTTTGTGTAGTACGGTATATTACCACAGAGTTAAACACCATTGGAAAATTCAATTTGCCTACAATTCATTTTGGATTTGAGGCTTATGTAACATTAACACATTCTGGGAGCAATCTACTAGTTCTCACAACAACTCTCTACTCTGGAACCAGGAGCAGTATGAATCCCTGCAATCTCCTGATTGAGGTAAATCAGGGCAAAGAGCCTGACAATCAACATCATGCCTCAGTACGCAGATGAACACTAATGACAAGCAATGGGACCAGCACTATTGATTGCCAGGGCAGACAGAGCATGCATTGTCTGTCTGGGGGCTTTAGCATGGAAATTATAGTCACTTGTCATGGAGCAATGCCCCGATGTGTGGCGACAACTTTTAGCCTCGCTCCCTCAGGTACTGTTTTCAATATGTGCGAATTCCAAAACACTTTTAGTCTATGATAGGCATTATAATGACATGAATCTTGTATGATAACAACTCATTGTTTGTGATAATGTTTCAAGGCGACTTCCTGCTCCCTCGTCAGGTTTGTTTTTTGGTTTGTTTGTTTGTTTTTTAACCCCGCACTCAGCACTGTTCCAGCTATGATGGCGGTCTGTAAGTAATCAAGTCTGGGCCAGACAATCCAGTGATTGACATTATAAGCATCGATCCACGCAGTTGGGTTACGATGACATACATCAACCAAGTCAGTGAGCCTGACCACCTGATCAGTTAGTCGCCTCTTCAGGTAATGAAGGGGCAAGATTAGCTCTGATTACTTAAGTGTTGGCTTCCATTGTTTATTGCTAATCACCTTATCAGCGCCAATCATCTGTTGGCTTCCTTTGATAGCTTGTACCTTTGTTAGTTTCCACCTTTCTGTTATCTTATTAATTTTGTTGTCCTTACATGTACATATATACGCTCTCTGCCTCATGGCATTCATTCACCTGATGAAGGAGTAAGCATATACTACGAAACGTTGTGTTCCTCATAATAAAGAAGTTGACATTTATATACTCTCTTCCTTATGTGAATCACTTCTAAATGCCATTCAAAGACAAGGGCAAGAATTAGCACAGAAACGTTGCTACAAAAAAGAAAGAAGTTGTTATCCATAAATGTTTCATGTCTTCAAAATACATGTAATTTCACATGTTTTAAAATGTTTCTTACATGACTGATGGGTATGAGTGTACGGGTACTACATTTTTCGCAACTTATCATGTTTGTGTAAATGTAACTTTTTTTATAGTTTCTGATCAATCACTGTAATAGGAAACCCTGGAACAGTCATAGTGCATAAATACAAAATGTGTAGCTGGTCATTTGATCCCTGACTTTGTCTCTCCGTATGAGACATCTGTCAGAGGGCTAGACTGAGAGATTTCACATACAGAACATGATTTGTCAAGTCATAAGATTTTGCTGCAACAATGTTTAATAAAATCATTATTGCAGAACTAAAGAGTCAAGACTCAGGGTTGCATCAAGTGATAATAATAAAGATGACATTTCCCACGACTGTCCACTTAGTCCAAGAAGGGCTACTCTTATTTGCAACAGTAAGTTCAAGGTCATTTACTAAGTAGCATGTACCTATGCTCACTGCCTTTTAAATACACAGATGGTGAGTTCATCATACTGACAGCCTGTACAAACTACTTTGAGCAGGGCCTATGTGACGCCAATACAAACCACGTGATGATGGCCTAAGTGGCGCCAATACAAACCACGTGATGATGGCCTATGTGGCGCCAATACAAACCATGTGATGATGGCCTATGTGGCGCCAATACAAACCACGTGATGAGGGCCCATGTGGCGCCAATACAAACCACGTGATGATGGGCCTATGTGACGCCAATACAAACAACATGATGATGGGCTAGTGACGCCAACACAAACCACGTGATGATGGGCCTATGTGACGCCAATACAAACCAAATGATGATGGGCCTATGTGACGCCAACACAAACCACGTGATGATGGGCCTATGTGACACCAACACAAACCACGTGATGATGGGCCTATATGACACCAACACAAACCACGTGATGATGGGCCTATGTGACGCCAACACAAACCACGTGATGATGGGCCTATGTGATGCCAAAACAAACCCCGTAATGATGGGCCTATGTGACACCAACACAAACCACGTGATGATGGGCCTATGTGACGCCAACACAAACCCTGTGATGATGGGCCTATGTGATACCAACACAAACCCCGTGATGATGTGCCTATGTGACGCCAAAACAAACCACGTGATGATTGGCCTATGTGATACCAACACAAACCACGTGATGATGGGCCTATGTGACACCAACACAAACCACGTGATGATGGGCCTATGTGACGCCAATACAAACCACGTGATGATGCACCTATATGACACCAACACAAACCACGTGATGATGGTCCATGTGACGCCAATACAAACCACGTGATGATGGGCCTATGTGACACCAATACAAACCACGTGATGATGCACCTATATGACACCAACACAAACCACCTGATGATGGTCCATGTGACACCAACACAAACCCCGTGATGATGGGCCTATGTGACGCCAATACAAACCAAGTGATGATGGCCTATGTGACACCAACACAAACCACGTGATGATGGGCCTATGTGACGCCAATACAAACCACGTGATGATGGCCTATGTGACACCAACACAAACAAAGTGATGATGGTCCATGTGACACCAACACAAACCCCGTGATGATGGGCCTATGTGACGCCAATACAAACCACGTGATGATGGCCTATGTGACACCAACACAAACAAAGCGATGATGGCCTATGTGACACCAACACAAACCCCGTGATGATGGGCCTATGTGACGCCAATACAAACCACGTGATGATGGCCTATGTGACGCCAACACAAACCACGTGATTATGGGCCTATGTGACACCAACACAAACCACGTGATGATGGCCTATGTGACACCAACACAAACCACGTGATGATGGCCCATGTGACGCCAACACAAACCACGTGATGATGGGCCTATGTGACACCAACACAAACCACGTGATGATGGGCCTATGTGACGCCAATACAAACCACGTGATGATTGGCCTATGTGACGCCAATACAAACCACGTGATGATGGGCCTATGTGACGCCAATACAAACCACGTGATGATGGGCCTATGTGACGCCAATACAAACCACGTGATGATTGGCCTATAGGATGCCAATAGAAAGCCTGTGATGATGGGCCAATGTGACGCCAATACAAACCATGTGATGATGGCCTATGTGACGCTAATACAAACCATGTGATGATGGCCTATGCGACACCAATACAAACTATATCATGATGTGCCTATATGACATCTGATACTAACCACACAATGATGGATCTATAACACTGATCGTTAATACAAGCCGTACAACATTTGGCAATTTATGATGGCCAATACTAACACACAGTGCTGAGCTTGTATGATGGCCTATAAATACCATGAAATGGTGAGTTTGTTTGATTTTTTATCAATGCTTGGCCTGTAACACTGACAGTCACTATAAACCATGAATTGCTAAGGCCACCACCCTCATGACCAAAACTTCTTTTATTTTTATTCTACATGCTACATCATAGCATACAAAATGCAGAAAATGGTGAGACAGAACACAGCTCATTTTAAATTTCAGTTTGGTACTCATTTATACATGGACCTTTAACAAACTACTTTTCTGAACCATTTGGTCTCACAGAAATCATCCTAGTGTTAAAAACATTTGTTGCTGGACAGCTTGATTAACACTGTCTGTAACACACAAAGAGTAAAGTGCCCATTCTTCTTGGCTAGTTAATCACATGCCCTGCAGAGGGTACAAGTCCCGGGCTGCAAATACCCCCATCTGTTCATAAAGACCCCAGGCACAATCACATCCAACATGAAGGCAACCTTTCTAGTCTCTTCAAAAATCTGCAATTCTTGAAATAGAGCACTTCAAGCCTGACTATGACAAGTATGTGTCGTGTAAGGAGAGTTGGAAGCCTGCTTCTTCAAATAATCAGCAATGTCAGTGTATGTGAGAGAACAGGGTGGTGTGTCACACTGTAGGTGTGAGGACATGCCCTGCTTGCTTGGTTTGTCATACTGTAGGTGAGAGGACATGCCCTGCTTGCTTGGTTTGTCACACTGTAGGTGTGAGGACATGCCCTACTTGGTTGGTTTGTCACACTGTAGGTGAGAGGACATGCCCTACTTGGTTGGTTTGTCACACTGTAGGTGAGAGGACATGCCCTGCTTGGTTGGTTTGTCACACTGTAGGTGAGAGGACATGCCCATCGTCAGACCAAGGTGAAAGGCTGCGTCTTGCAACTGCGTCAGCTCACACTGCAGGTGAGAGGACATGCCCTACTTGGTTGGTTTGTCACACTGTAGGTGAGAGGACATGCCCTACTTGGTTGGTTTGACACACTGTAGGTGAGAGGACATGCCCATCGTCAGACCAAGGTGAGAGGCTGCGTCTTGCAACTGCGTCAGCTCACACTGCAGGTGAGAGGACATGCCCTACTTGGTTGGTTTGTCACACTGTAGGTGAGAGGACATGCCCTACTTGGTTGGTTTGTCACACTGCAGGTGAGAGGACATGCCCTACTTGGTTGGTTTGTCACACTGTAGGTGAGAGGACATGCCCTACTTGGTTGGTTTGACACACTGTAGGTGAGAGGACATGCCCATCGTCAGACCAAGGTGAGAGGCTGCGTCTTGCAACTGCGTCAGCTCACACTGCAGGTGAGAGGACATGCCCTACTTGGTTGGTTTGTCACACTGTAGGTGAGAGGACATGCCCTACTTGGTTGGTTTGTCACACTGTAGGTGAGAGGACATGCCCTACTTGGTTGGTTTGTCACACTGTAGGTGAGAGGACATGCCCATCGTCAGACCAAGGTGAGAGGCTGCGTCTTGCAGCTGGGTCAGTTCACACTGCAGGTGAGAGGACATGGCCTGTGTCCCACTCAAAGTGAGAGGACATGCCAGGAATCACACTGCAGGTGAGAGGACATGCCCTGCCTAGGTGATTTGTGAACATTTTCATTCTTAAATAATATCACGACAAATTTAACACCATGACAAAATGTCATATCATGATGCTAGACAATACGTCATACGTGGAGAAGAAGGTAACGCACAGGCAGATAACAGACTATGCATCATGACATCATGGCAGGACAGAAATAAGCACCTGTGTTTGTCAATGACAATGAAATCCTATACCTCCTTTATTTAGTTGAGACGCAAATTGTGTTTCTTGAAATCCAATGTTTGTGAGGTAATTACAAAGAAAGATCATATTTCCCACAAACACATCTACAGGCACCAAATCATCAGATTACCGAGCAACACAAAAGTGTCAAGATTTCTGGTGTTATGTATTCTGGGCTAGAACGTATTAATTTGGCATTGTAGCAGCATTTGATATCACATTAGATTAGATTATACAGAGGTGGTGATCCAGGATTTCAAGGGGTGCACACAAACCTAGTCACAAAGTGATCTTTGTTCGTTTGTTGTTTAATGCTGCACTCCGCAATATTCCTGCTCTATGACAATCCAGTGATTGACATCATGAGCATTGATCCACGAAATTGGGATACGATGACATGCAACAACCCTATCCCGTAAGTCACCTCTTTAGGTAATGAAGCACATGGTAAGGAAGGAAGGGTGCACTATTTGCAAACCCCACCCGCCCAACCACCCATTTATCATATTTATTATCAGCATCAAATAATTGTCAGTAAAACGTATAATTACCCAATATTTTTCAGGTAGCAAAAACGAAACTGCAATTGACAACGGATAAGGATCTATACCAAAACGTCGCTTTTTACAGTATTAAAGAAGTTGTTATCCATAAAATTGTGTCTACCTTGTCATCCGTCAACTTCTAAGTAATGACTATCAAACAATTTGCAATTAGGATACACAAGTGCTTTATCATGTCATAATTGTTTTAATTCAAGCATGAATGTGGAAGCACATGCAAGAGTCCAAATTCACTACCCGGGTACCAACCCCCCCAATTACCCGACCCTACCCTGGTACCCGCTGTAGGTCTCAGGAGATAGGTACAAAATGTCCGATTGGGAAATGTTTTACCATTGCCCTAGCAAAATGCACTTAGATACACATACAGAACAATCTGGTCATGCATACACTGAAGTTGACTGGAGCTTCATCTATATTCAAAATATATGAATGTCAGAAGGAATGCGTTCTGAGTTCTAGATAATTTTTGTCATTTATATCAGATGACACCATGGGTCTGGGTAGTCCTGTGGGTACCCGGGTCATACTCAGTACCCACCTGACCTGAGTTCCCGAGTTACTCATCCCAGCCCTAAAGGAAAGGCAACAAAACGAAATCAAACAAGTATTTGTCACAGAGTGACGAAATATCCCCCGCCATATACACCATAGTACCAAATATGAAGACAATCCAGCGATTAGTTCTTGAGATATCGCGGCAACACCGTTTTCCAACTCTAAAAGCAGATTTGCCTGCTGTGACCTTGAAAATGGGATCAAGGTCACCAAAACCGACTGGTGTCTGCATATACACTATAGTTCCAAATATGAAGACAATCCAGTGTTTAGTTCTTGAGATATCGCGGCAACACCGTTTTCCAACTCCAAAAGCAGATTTGCCTGCTGTGACCTTGAAAATGGGGTCAAGGTCACCAAAACCGACTGGTGTCTGCGGTGTCTGTATATACACCATAGTTCCAAATATGAAGACAATCCAGTGTTTAGTTCTTGAGATATCGCGGCAACACCGTTTTCCAACTCTAAAAGCAGATTTGTCTGCTGTGACCTTGAAAATGGGATCAAGGTCACCAAAACCGACTGGTGTCTGCGGAGTCTGTATATACATCATAGTTCCAAATATGAAGACAATCCAGTGTTTAGTTCTTGAGATATCGCGGCAACACCGTTTTCCAACTCTAAAAGCAGATTTGTCTGCTGTGACCTTGAAAATGGGATCAAGGTCACCAAAACCGACTGGTGTCTGCGGAGTCTGTATATACACCATAGTTCCAAATATGAAGACAATCCAGTGTTTAGTTCTTGAGATATCGCGGCAACAAACAGGTGGGACGTACGGACGGACGTACGGACGGACGGACAGACGGACGTACGGACGGACGTACGGACGGTCGTGAATACTATATCCCCCGCTTCGCGCTTTCGCGCGGCGGGGGATAATGAGAGCATGAAGACACAGAAGGCCAGGACAATTTAATCACTTGTTTTACAAATTTGCAGGTTAATTTTAGCCATTTCAAAAGAAAGTATCTGAAGTATTCATGTTTGATAATTCATAGCTTAAAAATTAGTTTCATTGCCATGTCTTCCCCTTGCTCCTGAAAAGATTTCATCTGAAGAAGAAGGATCGCACATTTCGCCCAGCAAAAGAACCCCAAAATGAAATATGGTTTAAGGCACAAGGCAGAACAAATCTGCAGTCATTGAACATTTTTCTTTAAGTGACTGTCAATCAATCTATGTTTCCTCCTGCCTTTAAGTATTTGGGTAAAAAATTGTAAAGCAGGTTATCAAATATGTCTGGCCTTCAGAGGAATCAAAGGTCTCATAGCTTATATTCTATGGCTTACTCATCTTTGGTACTTATTAGGTATTTAGTGTACTCACCATATTGTGTTTTAATATCCTTTGAACCACAGGGGTGAACAGCTCTATCACTATGCTAGACCGGGGACTGTTTTTACAGTGCTGAAATACAACATCAAGAAGTTAAAGTCATGACAGGATTAAGTGAGTGCGGCCTTACATTGCTCTCAGCAATATTCAAGTGCAATATGTGAAACAAGTTTCAACAGTACTAGCAATTCCTAGCCAGTCGTGTGAGCTACAAAATTGTTTACTAGCCAATTTAGATTTGAATAGCCTGATGTGTTTAACACCACCTATTACAAGGAGAAAACTGGTAGCAGAGAAAGAGCATTTATTCAATTTTTCAACAGTGTTAGACCTTCAATCTGTGTCATTATAAAAAAGGTTTCTCTCACTTGCAGAACTAGTGACAAGGGATTGTACGTAAAAAGTACGACAAACGTTACAGTATATCCCTGAAATCAGAAATCAGCCATTTAAAATCTATCTATTGACCATTCTGGAAGGAAATTCTGATTTCAAACTTTCATATTTGATAGCTGAATAACAGTATTATATCTCACTAGATAGAAAAGCAAGTTAGCCAGAGTTTATAGATTATATATAACCAGCTAAAGAGAAAATAAAGTGGTTGTGGGCCGTGCAGGTGCTTACTTCACACTGTTACAGTCATGTCATTGCACTTGATTCCAAGAATGGGCTTCACACATTAGAGGGTATTAAACCATGTGGGGTGAGGAGGCAACGCTTTAACCATTTGACTACTCTACCACCCTAATATCAGGATTAAATCAAGCCTGTGTACATGTGTAAGAGCATATGACATACAAGAGACTGTAGTACTTTTATACAGAATGAAATGCCATTGTCACTGATCAGTCATGTAAGAGGGTCCTCCTTAGCACAGGGGCCATCATGACCTCAGTACAGGATGGGCCACCATGACCTCAGTAAAAGATGGGCCACCATGACTCCAGTACAAGATGGGCCACCATGTCCTCAGTACAAGAAGGGCCACCATGACCTCAGTACAAGATGGGCCACCATGACCTCAGTACGAGATGGGCCACCATGACCTCAGTACAAGATGGGCCACCATGTCCTCAGTACAAGATGGGCCACCATGACCTCAGTACAAGATGGGCCACCATGATCCCAGTACGAGATGGGCCACCATGACCTCAGTACGAGATGGGCCACCATGATCCCAGTACGAGATGGGCCACCATGACCTCAGTACGAGATGGGCCACCATGATCCCAATACAACATGGGCCACCATGACCTCAATTCAAGATGGGCCACCATGATCCCAGTACAAGATGGGCCACCATGACCTCAGTACAAGAAGGGCCACCATGACCTCAGTAAAAGATGGGCCACCATGATCCCAGTACGAGATGGGCCACCATGACCTCAGTACAAGATGGGCCACCTGCAGAACAATGTCCCATTGTCACTGATCAAGAGGGTCCTCAGTAGAATATGTGCCACCACGACCACAGCAGTAGATGGGCCCGCTGCAGCAGACGGGCCCCCAGTAGCTCATGGACCACCACGACCACAGCAGTAGATGGGCCCGCTGCAGCAGACGGGGCCCCAGTAGCTCATGGACCACCACGACCACAGCAGCAGACGGTCCCCAGTAGCAGACAGTCCACTGTGTATTGGTATTGATTAAGTCAATCTATTAAACACAATTTACAGACATGTTTTGAGTTAAAACCATGCGTGGCACAGCGAGCATCAAATCAGCCGTAAATCAACACAATTGTGTGGTTTTAAGCTATCATTAATGCATGTACATCACTTAGCATGCAACACAGTGTAAGTCGAGCAAATAGAGGCTCCTGATCTATACAATGGAAACGTCTCCTCTTACCACTGATTACTGCTATCATACAGGAACCAGTTTTATAATCCAAGCTTCTCAGAAACAAACTTTTGATTTCATACAATTAATGCTTTAGTTATGCAGTACATGTATCTGAATTGTATTAAGAAAAAGATTAATGAAATGGAAGTGAATTTCGTGATTTATTAATCAAAACTTTGGTTCATATTATCCATCTATTTTTCAATGAGTAAGTTGGGCATAACGTCACATTGAATAAAATTTCAGTGATATCAAAGCCTGTTCAGTTACATCCCTACTTGTTCAGATGTATCCCAGAATTTCAGTTATAATTCAGCTTGTTTCATTTATATCCCAACCTGTTCAGTTACATCCCAGCTTCTTCAGTTATATCCAGGCTTGTTAAGTTATATCACAGCCTGTTCAGTTATTTCCTAACTTGTCAGCAATATGTGAGGGGAAAAGTCAGTCATAGACGTTTACCACTTTGGTGAAGCTCACAAGCCCGGTTATGGTGGTAACAAACAAGTTTCATATTCAGGGAATAGGGTATTGAAACCCATGATCAGCAGATCCTGATGTAACTAAAGGACACAACTCTACACATCAAAATGTGGCATGTTAGAAATTTCCTTTATTACACTTGATAGAAATGTTTCCTGGACACTGATGCATTTTTTGTTTTTAAAGGAAGTGAGTGAGTTGGGTTTAATGCCACTTTTAACATTATTCCAGTAATATCACGCAGTGTCAGCTTAATGTGGGAGGAAAGCCTGAAGTGATGCAGGTCTCAGACCTTTACCACTTCAATGAAACCCACGAGCACAGGTATGGTGCTGTCAAACCTAGAAACATAATCGGGGCAAACAGGGATTCAAACCCACAAACATAGGTTTCTGTGTGCCCAAGGGGTGCAACTCTGCACAGCAAATCGCGCCTTAAACGACTGGGCCACCCGTGCCCCCCTTTAAAGGAAGTATAACTGCTTGAATATTATTGCATATTGCCTTTACAAAAACTAATTTGTATTTGATGTCCACAAACATATCTCAAAAAAAGTTTTCAATATCTGACAATTCTGAAACATTAGGTCTTTGAAGCTTGAGAATCCTGCAAAATGACCCTATTTCATTGCCCTGGAAGCTATGGTAAATATATTTTTTACAGTTCCCTTTAAGCAGTTTTTTCATAATGAGTTTATTTCAAAGAATTGTTTTATGAATGTAAGAAGATAGTAAATCAGCTTTCAAAAGTCCAGGCATGACTAACATGAAAGAACTCAATCCACAAAAGAAATCCGTGTCAAGGTCTTGAAAGAATGTCCCCAGTTGGACATACCAACATTGATCATCTACATCAGTTAAATCTCCAGAGAAGTCATAAAAAAGCTTATGCTGATAAAATCATCAAACATTGAAATCAATTTATAGGTACTTGATCAAGGTTCAACTTATTCCTCCTTTGACAGGGTTTCAGAACTTTCAATTGCACCCTGTGGAATTGTCAATGATATTTGGTAACAGATGCCGAGTTTAACCTTAAACTAACATTTCAGCAAACCTACTCCTCATCTCTGTTTCCCTACATCGCCTTGCCATCAATTAACATAGTTCAACATCAAATATCACTTTCGAATCATTTACTCCCTGAAGCCTGGATTGCCATTTAAAAGAGTTCAGAAGTTTGCAGACACACTCTTGGGATATCCTCAAACAGAATTGCCATTAGATATATTGAAATTGTATCTCTATCTAGCTATCATGTAGGAACTCAGCTCAATATCATATCTTGGCTGCACATGATTTTGCTAAAACAAGATCGTATTCAATTTCAAACTCTGTCATCATGACATTGATCACCCTGCAGAAATCAGATACGGACGTTTGATGTGTACATTTGAAGTGGATAGAAACTACTCCTATCTGAGAAAACTAGGAAATCATCTTTAAAAAAACAGGGAGATATAGCATGATATTTTTAATGCTTGGATAAGAAAATAATCAATACCTCTATTGGAACTGCACCATATTCAAATTTAACACACCATCCTAAAACCCTTCCACACACATGCTCATATACTTTATGATCACAAAGCATGAAGTACATTGTAGCATTTATTATTCATAATATACCAAGAATACCTAGGATCAAACTGATCTTAATGAAAATGGAAAATTGCTGTGTAATTGTGATAATAGTCTGTCATGATTCTTTATTTGACCATTTCCTTCAACGCATTCAATCATCATCACGGCCGCAACACATTATTACTTATCACCAGACATATTAAACTAGGAATTCCCTGTAATCTGTACTTTGATGCAGTCCTTTTTTCTAAAAGATAAGACGACTGAAAACCATTTCCGAGGTTTGTCATGGAAGGAGGCTGGGGTCTGTGGCAGTGTTTATTTGTTCTTCTCTATTAATCATGGCTACCATTGTCCACAGATCACAGAAAGTCAATAAAACGTCTGGCATACTGTTTTTGTTCCACACATTGCAGGGTAATTTCTGAACCAACATGCCAATTACCAGTATGAACATAAACGCTTTACCTTCACGTGAGAGAAGTGAACTAGGATACTATCTCTGGAGCACATACCTCCACATTGATCAAATTCAGGCCCCAAAGATACTAACAATGATAACGTAACCCTAAACAATTGTGTAATCAATTTAGAACTATGTTTACTGCCATATTCTTAAAGGATAACATTTGGTGACAGCTGAGGTATCAATTGTGAAGAAACCAAGTACCCTTGGAAAATAATTCCCGCTGAGGGGGCATTTTGTTTAATTGCTGCAGACCGGCCAGAGACAATAGCTCCTGGCTATTGCTGTGACAAGGGCATGCATGACAGTGTCAGACACATAACCATTATTTCATGCCCTTCTGCAATATGCATCATAACGTCCTGGTGTTACAGGCTACTCAATATCCCTCCCTTACAACAATACACTTCATATTGTGCCTATTGCAATAAAACCATTATTTCAAACCCTTCTGCAACCCGGGTGTTATAGATTTAATAGCATGTCTATTGCTGTATACTCAATATCCCTCCCTTACAACAATACACTACATATTGTGCCTATTGCAATAAACATTGTTCTGAAATACATGTCACAAATGTTCACTGCAATGTACTTGATATCCGAACCTTCCCACGGTTCATCCTGTACCTTTTGCAATAACCTTTTCTCTGAAAACCATTATTTATTTAATTATGCTTATTGCAACAAAATTTGCTCTGAAATACATATGTAAACAGCAGTAATCTTGCTATTGCGTCCACTGTAACATATTCATAAGGGGTAGGTCCAGAAGAAAACGATCTACTGCATTATTCTACATTGTACACATAACACTAGTTAGTACTACATTATTCCACAATATGCAACAATAAACTTCATTTACTACCATCTACAATACACTTGTACACCTACTCAATACATAATATTATACTCCCTCAGCTTCTGAAAATCAATTATTGATAATCCGGTTGACATATGCTTTGTTTCCTTCCCACACACAACATGCCACCAAAGAACAATACACTGAATATTACGCACATTACAATACCGAAATAAAAGTATCTACACTAGAAGGTGTTCATGTGATAACCGACAAGGAAACCCATTTTGATTTTGACTTAGAAAACATCAAAACGAATAACATTCCAGGTTAACAAGAATGTTTTGATAAAAGGTATCATTAAACAAAAGGAAACTTCTGGTCAAATTACTAAAGTATGCATCAAATGAGTGAGTGAGTAGGTTTTACTCCACTACATCCTTGAATTGTCAGCTTGATGTGGAAGGGGAGCGAGACAGTGAGTGAATATGGCTTTGCACTGCTTTTTGCAATACTCCAGTAATATCACAGTGGGGGACACCAAAAAATGGGCCTTACATATTGTACCAATGTTGGGGAATCAAACCCAAACCTTCGGCATGACAAGCGAACTCTGCAACCACTAGGCTATCCCACCACCCCTAATGTGGAAGGAATGTCACAAGCGACAATTATCACTTTTGTGAAAGCCACAAACATATGTATGGTTCTGACCAACCAAGGATCATATTCAGGCCAAATCTGGTGTTCCCTCAGAAGAACCTCTCAATCAGGATACAATTACATGCTATCAATCAAGTCACCACGCCTGACCACCCAATCCATTAAGGTATCTTTTACAACAAGCAAAGGTTGCTAGCAATCTATTTTGACCAGAAGCAGTCTCCTTCATGACCTGTAGCTTCCAAGAAAATAATGAAAATCAAAAATTCTAAAACCGTAATGTATGATAAGAGGGATTTATCTAGACCTGCTCAGAAGCTGGTATTCACCCCCAAGCCTGGTCTGGTCGACTTGTATTTTACTGATATAAGGACCAATAAAGAAGAAGAGGCTTTAATGCCAAGTATACCATTATTGAATTTTATTCAATGTATCATTACAATGGTAAAACATCTCTGAATTTGACTTTTAAAACATCCCCATTTTCAACAAAATAACAATATTTTTTCCCAATTTGCTTGCTAAGGGCTCTTTGATTGATAAATCACTGGTTAAATATTATTCACCTTAAAGGAAAATTATTTAATTTAGTACAAACCTTAAAGATACTATCTCATCAACTGGCAAACACCAAGAATACTGAATATCCAAATGTACAGCACTTACTGGGAACCTAGACAGATTCTATAAGTCTTGGTCATCATGTCATACATACTTTTCGTATCACAGAAGACATAGATTTTCAGTTTGTGAAAAAAATAAGAAATGTAATTTCAAAAAATGATAAAACTGAATACTGAATACCATGAAATATTCAATAGATATAGAGTATTAACAATTTGATTGAATAATCTAATTTACTGGTCTAAAACATTTCAGTTATTGCCAGCATGACATGTGACCTGACTGATACCAGAGGCAGGTGATGCTACATGAGACTTGTCACAGGAGAGAGATCAGGTCACTGATGAAGATCGTAATGGCTTTAGGTGTTGATACACGAGTAAGCATTAACTTTTGAAAAAAAACCATGATCTTTTCATTAAGCATAACAAGTATGCTATTACTGCACCGGACATTCCCACTCGGCTGATGAGGTGCTTTGCTTTAAATTATACGATTACCTCGTATTTGACAATATTGCCAGGAAATAAGATATCGTCACATGGTTGGCGACTGTCACGCCTGACTGATTCATTCTTGTGAACAAACCCTGACAATACATGACATGGTGCCCACTTAGAAAGACTTAATCTTGGGCTAAATTACACTGTTTACTCTTTGTTACTTTATACACGCCACTGAGGTACAGGTATGAGTATTAAAACATTGACAACCATGCCACCCCACAGCCCTGACTTTCTGAGAAGAAAAATCGATAATTATAAAAGAAATTCAAAACCACTGATAAAGGGTATAAAATGTAAAATATATGATCTATTAAATGACCTGTCCAGTACGTTATTTGACCATTACATATGATGTTGAACAGTTATCAGAAACACTCACCTTGCTGAAAAAATCACAGATTTCTTGTGTGGGATGATTGTTTTCAAGAAGAGGCGCCAATGCTACTATAATATTTTCATGAGCAACTTTGGTGATGACGTCTGAATTCTGTATAAGGAGACAAATAAATAAGAAATATAATCAAAGCATACATTTCACATGATAGAGAACATATCATTAGGCTGTGAGTGAGTGAGTGAGTGAGTGAGTGTGGTGATACGCCGCTTGAAGCAATAGTCCAGCAATATCGCAGCGGGAGACACCAGAAATGGACTTCACATATTGTATTGTAGGGATTCAATCCCAGGCTTTGCAAGCAAACACTTTAAACACTCGGCTACCCAACTGCACCCATGAGGTTTTGAAGTTTAACACAGGTGACTGAAGTGATCACATGCTTATTTAAAGAGATGACCGTAGATGAATAGGAGGTCAGGCACTTTGTCCTAGAATAGGCCCCCCAATTTTGTCACAAGAGTAGACAAATGAGGACTTGGTAGTTACCACATGTGACCTGGCAAATTGCGCTTCATCATGCCTCGATGTAAAGTTTGTCTGTGAATGAGCCGAACCAGTTGCCAATAAAATGAGATCATATAAAGCAGTCTTAGTAAAAGTGATTTGAGTCAAACTTTTATTTTCAAATCTCTTATTTTAAAATTTATTGTGTAGATCATTAAATAGTCTAATTCCACAGAGCAATGGTGTCTGTTTCATAGGGATTTGGCTGTCTTACAGAGGCAGATAGTATGTGGGTCCAATGGTACCTGGATACTTTAAAATGATGATAAATGATAAATGGTTGATAATACCTTACATACCTGTTGTAGTAACTCGGACACCAAGTCCAGGGGAAACTGGTACACGGAGACATCTTGTATGGGGGTTGTCAGCGACACATCTATCATACTCTACAATACAAAGAAAAATACAATATACTCAGGGTAAGAAAAAAGGCAACATATCTTAAGGAAAGCATTGAAATGACATTCCATGTGTATCATTAAGATGACTGGAAGTTGTTCTTCGCATTGCAGACCTGTACCACAAATACACTATTGCACTACAACTATAGTTTCCGTTACAGGGTAGGCATTATGACAGCTGCAGCACCAAGATAAACTCGTGGAACATGACACTTCATGTTATTTCTAATTTTGTAATATGATAATCATTCATATTGAAAACATTCTTCGCCTGTCTTCTGTATCACTTACGTTGCATTATTTCTCTCCATCAGTCAATCAATCAGCATTGCACAGGTATTAATGGAGTTGTAAAATACTGAGCAAATAATCTGCAAGCAAGCAGTTCTACCTTGAATGTTTATTAAATACCTTCTGTCATATACATGTACTCTAAAATAATCTCAGAACATATGATGACTTAACAACAATTAATACTGCAACACACAGCTGTCAATACGATACACTGATACAATAACATTGCCTCAAGGAAAATAGCAAGTAAATCTCAAATACTGCAAAAGTCTGGTAATCTTGAAGATATACATTCCAGTGAAAAAGACTGGAAAAACAAATTTCAGGGTTACCAACACTACAGGATGATGCCGTTTTTATTTGAGAGACAACATTCTAAATTGTGAAAACAATACTCTTAAATTTTTTGTTTTAACATAAACAAATAATTTCCCATTAAAATCAATTGCAGTTTAGACAGTGATCTCACTGTATTCTTCCAAGGTCTATGCACTTTCTGTTGTTTTGTTATCAAATGGTCCCATATTAAGATTAAAGCCACGCATTTCAAGTTCAGTTTCTGAGTGTGTCGTACTCAACAGCAAATAATTTCTCATCACAATCCTGATAATGTTTACCTGTAGTCTCTACAATTTAACTGACACTTTATGTAAAAGAAAAGTTTGAAAGTCACTTTCATCTACAACAGGGGGCTGTGGGGTGTCCTGAAGCATTAAAGCTCGTCACACCAAAGGCCAGGGTTCAATTTCTCGACATGGGTACAATGTGTGAAGCACATTTCTGGTGTCCCCCACCATGATATTGATGGCATATTGCTAAAAGCGGTGTAAAACAATACTAACTCAATTAACTCACTCACTCACTCACTTCATCTACAATGGTCCGCCACCTTCACTCGATAAGATAACACAGAGCACATACACAGAGGGAATCCTCGCAACTCAAGACCAACCCACCGTCTACTGTGTATTGATTTTACGAGAAAAACATGGAGCTGGATTTACAACAAGTCACAGTCAACTAGACCAGGCAAGCTAGCAACCTGTAAATAATCAAGTCTGAACCAGACAATCCAGTGATTGACATGCATCAGCCAAGTCAGCAAGCCTGACCACCCAATCCCGTCGGTCGCCTCCTACGACAAGCACAGTCGACTTTTACGGCAAGCATGGGTTGCTGAAAACCTATTCTCGCCCAGATCTTCATGGGTCATAATCACTCTCCTACCCAGAGTTCCATGCGGCCAGCAGCCAGCTAGCATAGTACCTCTGCCACAGGCCAGCGCGATGTGACGATTCGTCACATCTTTCACAGTCCATTCAAGATATTGCATATGCTTTTCATCCGTTTCATGTTTGACAAGTCTACACATTTTCATAAACAAATGTCAAAGAATGGTTAACTTTCATTGAGAAAGTATGCAAATACGTAAAAATCTACTTGTTTTTGCGTAGTTATCCTATGTTTACATTGGTTGTACGGCTCCACGTGCTGTCATCGAAGCCCAACGGAGAGCTAGCGTCAATTTGATGCAAAAATATAAATTGTCATGCAACTCACTGTCGCAGTTGTAGTAGCATATCTACATAGTTATGCAAAACAATATGTAAAGCGCCCCCAAATACTTGCATTAGTCCGTTCTATACTGATTTCTGAAAAAGCGCGTTTGTTTACAAACAAGAGAGAAGTCCGGTCACGTGAAATGCAAATTAGCCTGTGGCAGTGGTGTTATGCTGAGTCACCACTGCGACGGAGTGTGGGGTCATAATGACAAGTAATCTGCCAATCAGTTATAAGTAAAGTCAGATATATTTAAATATACATTTGACATATCGGTTCTGTACGTGTATCATGGAAAGATACAAAATGTTGCTATCAGAAGTGGCGTAGCATATGATGCTCAGTGCATTATGAGCCACTTCCCTATATGTCCGGTTACACAATCAACAAAGACACTGAGTCTGACCCCTGATCCATTTAGTCATCTCTGAACAAGCACAGATAGCTTGGGACTTATCTGAACCCAAACTCCAGTAGTAGAAACTAACATCCACTAGTCCTTATAATGATAAAAATAGCCAATCTCTACTCGTCCTTCTGACATCTTAACTATTGGGCAGTTTGGCAAGGACTACAGGACTAGTGCCAATATCTAAAACTGAACTCTCAATAGGGTTGTACAAATACTGAAAGGTTTATGAGTTCTGCTCTACAAATAAAACCCTTATGTGAACCCGAGTCCAAATTGTTTTTGCCTTAGCATGTAAGAAACAAAAATAATTTAGAACTTAAAATAATCATGGAAAGTGAACAGCAGCAGTTCTGCCTAATGGGCATACACAGTTTCACAAAGAAATATTTTACAGTAATGAGGTACACTACAGACATGAACCCTTCCCTCGTTTGAACTCAAGACCAAACTGTTGCCCCAGAAGCGCAAAAAAATAAACATTTCCAATATTCCTGACTAGCAAAAGGTCCATACCTAAAGCGTTTACCAAGTTTCTTGATTACATAGTAAGTGGTTTAAGAGTCATGTTCCAGAATTAAACACTAACCTGATTTGAAACTAAGTCAAACTTGTGGCCTTGGAACCACAAAAAATAAATATCAAAAACATCCCTGAATAGCAAAAGGCACCAGTTCAGTGAATTCCCTATGCATAAATGAAGTTTCAAGAAGAAATATTCAACAGTTTATGAACCGGAAACGACAAGGATAGATGGACAGATGGACAGACAGAACTATATTTTCTGTATCCTCCCAAAAGCTTTGTTTGGGGGTGGAATAATTATTCAAATTCAATTAATGTCAATGATTCAGTTGTAGTATTTTTGCATGTGCATGAAGAAAGTATCTTTGATGTAAACGTCCTATGAGTGAGTAAGTGTCCTAACACTCAGGCTGTTTGGGACTCAGGGCTGACAAGGACACCAAGCATGGACTTTGTAACAATGAGGCTAACCTGATTTGAAACTAAGTCAAACTTGTTGCCTTGGAAACACAAAAAATAAATATCAAAAACATTCCCAAAAATCAAAAGGCCACCACAACACTGTTACCTAGCTACCAAGTCCGGCAAACAGTGAGAGAATGCTGGGAAAAAATCACTGACCAGAACAACACTATAAATTCTGAATCAAACTTGGATCTATGCAGCTGACACAAACTCCAAACCACCTGCCTCAACAAAAAGATGCAAATTAATTACAAACAATTTCCCCCCAATAGAGATGGACAAAATTTACAACTGGTTTTTGAGACATAGAAATAAAGTATTGTTAAATGGTTATAAACTTCCCTGATTGAATTATTACTTAAAATCAGAATCATGTCCTCAATCACCAGTTAGTAGGGAGGGAAAGTCTGGCTAAATGTCAGGGTGTTACCAAGATTGTGTTGCCATGCTGCAGACAAATGGGCATCGATCAGAGAGTGAGAGCATTAAATCAGTTGGCTGGTTGGCACTCTGACACCATCTATGTAGCACCCAACAGATGTTTCCTTAAACTCACATCCTGTTTCATTCACCATCATTGATTGTGTGAAAGTGGCACCAGACCAGTTTATAGCACCTGATCGATGCCTCCCCTTCTCTGTCTTCTCTGGCAACCAACTCACCTAGCTTTCTCAGATGCTTTTCCTGTAAGGCTGTAGTTGCTCATAATGTTAACAGATTTGAACGCTATGTCTGCTGACCGTGGGTGAGTGAATATTGTTTTATGCCCAGTCAGCAATTTCCAGTTAAGTCACAGCCTGTATATAATTGTGACTGAACCAGTGATTGTCAGAATGACCATGAATCCATGCAATTGGAGTACAATGACACACAACTATCCAGGGCCCATTCCTAAATCAATCTTAGCGCTAAGATGCTTGTAACTTCCATATTTTAACAGACTTATAACAATCTTAGCACTAAGATGCTTGTAACTTCTATATTTAACACGGACTAACAACAATCTTAGCACTAAAAAAATTTTAACTTCCATATTTTAACAGACTTACAAAAATCTTAGCGCTAAGACGATTGTAACTTCAATATTTTTACACAGACTTACAACAATCTTAGCGCTAAGATCGCTCTGTGAAAGAGGGTCCAGGTTCCATATCGTGATCTCCTGTTTGCTCTTACATCAAGCACTCTGATGGAAGCACTCAGGCTCCTTGCAGAGGTAGTTTTTCACAGAGCTCATAACATTACTCCATTAATAGTAAACCATAAGCTGGCCTACACTTATTGTACCCATTGTTTTACAAGCAAGACAAACCAACACTTTAACAACTAGGCTATCCAACTGCACCTCAGCACTTCTGAAGCAGCTATTATTAAACGATATGCCTGTGAAGAAGAAGAATCTACTGAAGAGGTAATCCTTAATACCTGGAGAGAAGAATGTTGGTGAATCCATCCCTGTGTCATACCAAAAGAATTTAAGAGACAGTACATGCCTGGCGCAACACTACAAGAATAAAACAAGGACTGGTTATCTTGGAGTCAGTATATGGGTCAGAGTGGGGTATCCATGTTAAACTGTTGCATGGTATGTTAGTGGGCACTACACAACCGGACATAAAGGTTCAGACTAGTACAATTAGAAACACCCACATATTCACATGCATGAACATTGCTATATATGTGCAAGCATTCTTAAACGTGATGTAAGCCCCATTTTACCACACCCCTTAAATAAACATGAACACAGGGTGTGTAGGGCAGTGGTAGTTTCGGTTATGAATTCAGACATATCGCATTTGTGCAAGCAACACTGTCAAATTTACAACTGTATGTCCCATGTTAATTGTACACTGGCCATTACAAGAAACTAGAAATATTGATTGAATAATCAATAGTATCACAATGGAAATTGAACCTCAATTGGTGAATAACGACAAGACACTCCAATTGTATTACTGTTCTCATGAATACACAGGCTATAGTTATCAAACTTTGCACAACATGATCTTCCAATAAAACATGCATATTTGATTGTCATCAAATTTGACATGAGCAAATCTGTTCAGGATATGGATCCTCTTGTTCCACAATCTCCCTATCACCAGCATCATGAAAGTTCCCAAAATACCACTTTCTGATGCTTTCAAGCTGGGAGTCAAGTATTATCTCTGTATCATCCTCCACGGTGGTTGACATCCTTCCACACAACTTACAATGCCAAAGTTTCACAATCTGTTCTGTTGGTTACACAACAATGCCAGAGATCTGATCAGGCCTACTGATTTGTTGCGGACAGTGATGTGTGTAACTTGCACCTGCATCGGACTGATAACAGGTGCCCTCTGCACAGCTAGTTACTACCTGCATATACAGGTAGAGCACATCTGTTACTGTACTCAAAGCCATAGGAAACTGTATAACCAGGATTTGGCAAAATCAGTAAGAAATTAAATGATGTTGGATTCTCCGAAAACTATGAATCACTATGTTAAACACTCATGAAACTAGATGTGTTAGCAGGTACTTGCAAAAACATTACCATGATTTCCTCAAAGCATCTAAAGTCTTAAAATACCCTATATACTTTTAGTGCAAAAGCATTACTTAGATCTGACCCTATCCAGTGCAACTTTTTAAGATCCAACAATCAGCAAGTCTCGGGACTGTACAAGTAAAAGTGCAATGAAACTGACAATGAACGTTCCTATCATGTTCCCCAATTACATCAAAGATGATCTTTACATTTGATAGACATAGCACCAACATTTCATGTTGCACGATTTTATGGATACATGAAAATATAAAATTTTATGTTTGTAGAGGTAACAACCATAGCTCAAAAACTAAAAATTACAAAACCATGTTTGACAAAAAAAACAATGCTGACCTTGACCTTTGACTAATCTTGACCAAAACCTTTTCAAAAGAGGGCCAATCTTTGAGAAAGAATATACCAAGTTTAATGATAAATGCAATAATATCTTTTGAGAAACACAAACTTTTATTTGTGAGTTTCTACTCTCTTGTGACTTGACCTGTGACTTTTTCAGTAGATTTGCAAAATGATTTCCCAAGGACAATTTGAAAGAAGTCCATGGAAATAATGTCAATAATCTTGATGTAGTAGACATAAGAAAAATCAATGGAGGCAAAAAGAGCAGTCCTCTTTAAGGTTGCTACTAAAAAAATTCCTATTGATAATATTGGAAACCCTTTTGGAAAGTATCACTGCAAATGTAACACAGCATTATATCAGGTATGTGAAGTTAACCGAACTTGATCATTTGCAATCTACCTGATACAGCTTCAGTTTTCCTGTGTTAACATTCATTCACTCATTAGCTGTTACTTACTTACTTACATCCAAATCTTAAACAAAACAACCTACAGGGCATCTCTGGTAATTACCAAGTGAATGAGTGAGTGAGTGAATATCTTACAGAATACAGGTCATGTTATACAAACCAGGATCAGTGTCCTAGAATTCATTACCAAATATTTCTGACATTCTCAAAACAAGGTCTTTTTCATAACAAGCAATTACACAAGTTATTGTGCGACTGTACAATCAGTATAGTCTATTCACACTTCTATTCAGCTATTCACGATTGTAGCAGACGCCAAATTGCCTTCACACGTCTGCTAAAGCGTGAGGAGTCTGTGGCTTGAGACTAAGCAGTCAGGGTGGACAGAGTACATATTCTGTTTTTCTGTATAAGGTCGACATTGTTCGAATACAATATAAACTTTCATGTTTTCTGCATTAAAGACCTAAATTTAGATTTCTATTTTGCATTTTTCACATATTCTAATCGAGAAATAGCTCTACTCATCCATCGAACTCATTTTCAACGGCAACTAACATTTAGTTCAACACTCTCATTCACAAACGAGCCATAAAGTTGTTGTAATTAATCACAGCAGTTAAAGAGAGTCAGTGAGTTAACGGCGCTTTAAACAGTATTCTAGTTTTATCACAGCGTGTCAGCTTAATGCGGGAGGAATGCCGGAGTGATGCAGGTCTCAGATGTAGTGCTGTGGTGAAACCCACAAGCATGTGTATGGTGCTGACAAACATAAACGAGGTGAACCCGGATTCAAACCTACAACCAATGTTTTCTGCATGCCTAAGGGATACAACTCTGCACAGCAATATTGCAGCGCCATAGACAACTGGGCCACCTGTGTCCCCAACAATATTAGAGCTTGATGGTAAAAATATCACTTCTTGTATTTCTTAATTCACTGTGGGTACGTCAATGTTTACCAATGAAATTGCAGCAGTTGAAGTAGAAGTCATGTATGAAGTCCCACATACATCAAAGTGACTGATTCACCAGTCCTGTGTACATACAATATATGAAACTGGTTCAAACCCATCACGATCTGTCACAGGACATGACCTCTGATCAGCTTAATACAGATTGACTTGGCTGGCTCAAAAAGCAAATTAATCTCTTCTTCCTCCTGTCATTCTGAAACCATTCATGGTCCTGTGAGGTGAGGTGAAATGGGGCTTCAACATTGCATTAAAGATAAGTTCACTTATACATGTATAAATGTGCGGTGCAGTGTGGTCAGGTGCGGTGCAGTGAGTGCCAGCCCAGTGAGAGCCCACTCAGACACAGTACACTGACTCCAAGTCAAGTAGTCCTTGTTTTCTCCCCTCAGTGCTGAACGTCCACCAGGGTAACAAACAGTATCTTTTAGCATCTTTTGGCATGATGTAACCACGGATCGACCAACTGACCTTCACTCTCAGGGCAGATGCTGTATCCACCAGACCACAGAGGTTCTGTGACCTTTGGTCATCCTACAATTGATTGATTTGCTTTGCTGCATTTACCACTTCCTTTTGGTCAAAATCCATCAAGCGTTGACCATGTTGACCTTGCTAATAATTCACATGACATTCAATACCGATGGACAAACAGCGAACACATGACTGGGGCAAACATAGCCATATGGTGATCAAGGTGCTGCACCTAGATGGGTAGAATTGTGTCCCTTAGGAGAGTCAGGATCCATTGATCTTTGTTCGGATTCATTAACATTGGTCAGTAAGAACCATTCTTGTGTTCATTGTGTTCACCATAGAGTTTAATGTCTGAGACTTGCATCAGTTTAGACTTCCTCATTACTGAAGCTGAAGCAGTGTTACACAAAACTTACGTAAGGGTGCCTACATTACAAGTGCAGCCAGTGGTAGAAACTAACATTTTCAGTCCACTAGTCCTTATAATGATCAGATGATAACATATAGCTAAACCCTTATAAATGGCAAATTTCTCTTAGTCCTTATGATACGTTAACTATTGGGCAGTTGGCAAGGACCATAGGACTAGTACCAGTTTCTAACACTTTGCAGCTATTTCCCACACAGCTCAAGTGAGTTAGAGATTAACAAATTCGAGGCATGGGAGTTTTGTTGAGAGACAACAATCTTCAAGTCACTGCTTCAAACCATACATTCTATATCTCTGGTAGAAAGAGCCAAACATTTCTTTCAAGACATCCATATTTTTTAAATTACACCTTAGATATTTAGACTTTCTGGCATATTTTCCAGAATATCAAATGGTCCGTCCCTTAGTGAGAGACACCTGGTCATCGAAGACTGGTTGTTACAATGAGAAACATACCAGTGAAGATCTGAGTAAGAATAGATTTTCTGCAACCTATGCTTGTTGTAAGACGCTACTATGCTTGTCGTAAGAGGCGACTAATGGGATCGGATGCTCAAGCTCGCTGACTTGGTTGATACATGTCATTGTATGGATCGATGCTCATGGTATCAATCACTGGATTGTCTGGTCCTGATTTGATTATTTACAGACCACTGCCATGCAGCTGGAATATTGCTGAGTGCAGCGTTAAACAACAAACAATAAAATACAATGAGAAACAAGTGTTTAACATGTTTAACATGTTGTGTGAGAGTAACATGTGTCACAAGAGCATATAGGATACCATGAGCAATGATTGTGTGAGAGCAACATGTGTCACAAGAGCATATAGGATACAATGAGCAATGACTGTGTGAGAGTAACATGTGTCACAAGAGTATATAGGATACCATGAGCAATGACTGTAAGAGTAACACTGGGGTGTACAGATGTAAATGGCTGATTGGTCTAAAATAAATCAAACCTTACCTTTATTTCTTTTACTAAAACTTCAGGTCTTCGAGCATTCTTTAACAGTTTTTCATATTTGTACATGTGTTTCTGAAAAAGAATTAAAACTCACAGAAAATAATGCAAATCTAAACTTCAAAGCCTCTTCGTCTTTATTGGTCCTAGTATCACTGATATACAAGTTACCTCTACAAAGTCATAACATTAGATATAAAAGCTATATTAACAGGAATTGAGAACATTTTACTTTCAATTTGGGAATTTTTACTGGCAATTGCTGCAGACTTGGTGCCGAATATCAGCTTCTGAGCATGTCTAGATAAACCCCTGCATGGGGAATGGTTGAGCTGTTTTAAATATAAACTATATATCTATCTGTCTATACATAAATATTGCTATGGAATGCATAATCATGTTTTTCTCAAGTAGAAATATTAATCTTTGAAACCATAAAATAATAGCTGCATAACAAGAGTTGAATATTCTCAATACAAATCAGTATACATCTTGAACATAAAAGCAACATTAGTGGCTCCTGAGTCATTTCAAGATGGGCATTAACCCTGTTAGTTTTACCAGGTATTTCATGTCAGTCTCTTAAAAAATATTTTTAAGACTCTCAGAAAATGATAAGACCAGGTTTTCAAGACAGTGTAGTTTTCTCCCCAATCAGTGTTGGCAGCTCATGACGTAAGTCATCAGATAACATATTCCCTCGGTTCCCTGAAAACCTTTATGTAGAAATATCCCAACATCTTCCGATAAAATACCAGATGAATTAACCTTCAAGATATTTGATCCCATGGAAAGTTGGATGTCAGCAAATGAAATATCAATTAAATGATAGTTGAAAGCAAAAAATGTTGTATACAAATCAGCCAAGGACAGGGACAGTGACAGTATCATCAAGTTTCAGGTTTATCAACATCTGCTTGATTTTGTTAGTATAAACTGAACATATAAAGTATTAATTAGAGTCATGATGTAGCTTATATAAGGTCAGTTTGGGTATTTGAATTAAAAAATTCCAACACCTACTATACATAGTGCTTTCTACCAAAGTAGGACCAATGCATTTTGATTTTCGTAACAGGTTTCAGTTTTTCAACATCTGCTTCATTTGATTGTGCTAAAACTAAAGTCTTAATTAGTGTTTTAATGTAGCTTAAATAAGATCAGTTTGGGTATCTGAATCAAAAAATTTCCAACACCTACAACTAATAGTGTTTTCAAGATTAAATGAAGCACCAATAAGCATGATAAGGTCATTGTAACACCTACCACACGCTTCCAGTGTTCTCTACCAAAGTATGACCTGTTGACAAGTACCGGTACTCATCACCCCGATGAGGGAAACAGGGATAACTCTGACGCAAAGACGTGACATAAGCTGTACCGCAAGGACGCAAGGCCCGACTCGATGAGCACGCAAGTACATTCTCAGATGCAGCAAGATTATGCCTACAACGCACTGGGCCATAATGTCTACCATTCCACCAGGTCCTTCAATGAATTTGTACTACTTTACATATTTAAAAAGTACTACACTAAAAGTATTACACTGTGCAGACAGTGCTGAAAATAGGGACCTAGTCCTTCCCGTCTCGATTCAATATCAAACCAATATGAAAACCAGGAGCACTGTGCCCAAGGGGATGTCTTCTTCGACTAATTAGGTAATTATAGAGTAATATATCTTAATCCTGTGGTATTAGTGAGCATGCTTAGCATTCTCTACTGCTTGAAGGTAGGTCGGTGGCTATATTATTGGGTCTGCAAATTATAAACGTATAATAATTTTCCCCTCTCATCTAATGGTTTACTTCATCCGCAGTGCAAACAAAACAGAAATTGTACAGTCTTCAAAAGAATCTCAATCATGTTAACATGGTCCCAAACACACCACCTACGTATCTGAAACACACCATCTACCTGTCCCAAACACACCACCAAGCTGTCCCAAACACACCATCCAGCTGTCCCAAACACATCACCCAGCTGTCCGTAACACATCACCCAGCTGTCCCAAACACATCACCCAGCTGTCCCAAACACACCATCAAGCTGTCCCGAACACATCACCCAGCGGTCCCAAACACACAACCCAGCTGTCCCAAACACATCACCAAACTGTCCCAAACACACAACCCAGCTGTCCCAAACACATCACCCAGCTGTCCCAAACAGACCACCCAGCTGTCCCAAACACAACCCAGCTGTCCCAAACACACAACCCAGCTGTCCCTAACACACACCCAGCAGTCCCAAACACATCACCCACCTGTCCCAAACATATCACCTACCTGTCCCAAACATACAGCCCAGCTGCCCCAAACACACACCCCAGCTGTCCCGAACACAACACCAAGCTGTCCAAAACAGACCCAGCTGTCCCAAACACACAACCCAGCTGTCCCAAACACACAACCCAGCTGTCCCAAACACACAACCCAGCTGTCCCTAACACACAACCCAGCAGTCCCAAACACATCACCCACCTGTCCCAAACATATCACCCAGCTGTCCCAAACACACAGCCCAGCTGCCCCAAACACACCAACCAGCTGTCCCAAACAGACCACCCAGCTGTCCAAAACAGACCACCCAGCTGTCCCAAACACACCACCCACCTGTCCCAAACACACCATCCAGCTGTCCCAAACACACAACCCAGCTGTCCCCAAACACACCACCCAGCAGTCCCAAACACATCACCCATGTGTCCCAAACATATAACCCACCTGTCCCAAACACACAGCCCAGCTGCCCCAAACACACCACCCACCTGTCCCAAACACAACACCCAGCTGTCCAAAACAGACCACCCAGCTGTCCCAAACACACCACCCACCTGTCCCAAACACACCATCCAGCTGTACAAAACACACCACCAAGCGGTCCCAAATACACTACCCAGCTGTCCCAAACACATCACCCAGCTGCCCCAAACACACAACCCAGCTGTCCCAAACACATCACCCAGCTGTCCCTAACACACAACCCAGCTGTCCCAAACACATCACCCACCTGTCCCAAACATATCACCCACCTGTCCCAAACACACCACCCAGCTGTCCCAAACACATCTCCCAGTTGTCCCAAACACACCACCCAGCTGTCCCAACATCCCCACCCCACCACCTTCCCCACTCACCAACATCCCCACCCCACCACCTTCCCCACTCACCAACATCCCCGCCCCACCACCTTACCCACTCACCAACATCCCCGCCCCACCATTGCCCCACTTCCTTCTCTAATCCCCATCTCCCACAAAGCCCTGTCATCCAGCCAACTATCGCTCCTACCACACTCTCAATGGGTATGTGATCAATAATCCCAGCCAACACTTACCTTCCACTGAATAGAGTACAACCACTGATCCCTCAGGTAGCCATTGTGGGCCTGAAATAAATACCATGCATTGATTAATCAGAAATGAAACACAAATATTTAACTTCTATGCTGAGAACACTGTCAGGGATTAAGCAGGGCTCTGAATTTCAGCAACCGGATACTAGTTGTGCTGAGTATTGATGCTGATTATACAAACAGGCTACAGCATAACAAACTACAAGGTCTTATCATGTACTGTAATGCATTATGCACTTTCTCACAATACTCTTATGCAAAGCAATTGTCGTAAATTAGGTTTTGATATTTGCAAGTAATGCCAATAATATGATATTCCAGTAAAACGCAGTACACACCACAACATATCCTGATAAAAACAGAGCAATGAAAGGGCTGTAGCATATGTCACATTAAGGATTACACTTTCTTAGTCAAGTACAATTTTTAGGTTTTGTTTGGGTGGAGTGCCATCCAGGATTCAAATCCACACTCTTATAGAGTAGCAGCCAACCCTTAAAAAGAGGCTTATTAAGGAGTAACCCCTTCCCACAGTAGAACAAAGCACAACTTTTTTCTGAAACATGGCTGTCATCTGAAACATGGCTCTCAACATGAACTTGAAAGCATCTTCTATAGGTGGAACATTGTAGCTGCCTTGTCGAAGTTGAAACACACAAAGATTTGTTCCTTTCAGGAACATAAACATGATAAATCCAAAGCATGTTTACAGCTAGGTATGTTTAAAACCTATTTTATACCATAACACATTAACACAGTCCATAAATGTGGTACCATCTTATAGACATGACCCTTAAAATTCAGTATTGCAGCAGATAACAGAACAAAATATTTTCAAAAAAGTTATAAAACATCAACACCAGAGAATTACCAGTCTTGATTGTCCACCTATACAGATTCCACTGGGCGTAACAGCAAAATAGCTGTGAAAATTATAAGAATAGATCACGGAAAATCTGTGAAAAAGGTAAACATGTCCTGCCCTACCGGCAACACACGCCACAATTTTCATGAACAGTAAGCGCTGTACGTTGCATTCCATGCGACGGTTGCCTTTAATGAAACCAGAGAACCACGTAATGGACCAGACAGAAAGTCCAGGGACACCATAGTGCATTTACTGCTTTTTGTGGAAATTAAAAACCGATATGTTAATTTGTTATTACGTCTGCAAGTGCAAAGTGCAAAAAGGTGTTTGGAATACAGCATGGCTACATAGCCACAATATTGTTTTTATGCCATGAGTAAAGATATTTCTCAGTTATATCTCGATCATATTCATTTGTTGTTACTTTTGACTACATTTGACAGTCTAGTCATACCAAACTGTACGCGTTTTGTGGTTCAAGTGACTTTCTCTTATGAAGAAGCATATATGTAATTACAGATATAATCATAATAGTTCACTCCTTGGTTATTGAGGGCAATAGTGTATTCATAAATATTCTGATGTATATGTCAGATTATGAGGTTTAGACAGCTTTATGTAGTCTTTGAATGGCATTTAGAAGTTATACAAATAAAGAAGAGAATTTATGGATGTAAACTTCTTTATTATGAGGAACATTTCAGAGTTTCTGCTTACTCCTTCATCAGGTGAATTAATGCTGTGAAGCAGAGAGAATATTTATGTACCTGTAAGAACAACAGAAGTAATGAGATGACAAAGGTGGAAACTAAACAAGGGAAGCCAAAAGTTAATTGGCGCTGATAGATGACAGCAGGACTTAAATTATCACTGATTGGAAGTAGGCAAACGGGAGGCAGGGGGTAATAAGCACTGGAAGGTAATAGCAATAGCAATGGACAAATGGAAGCCAGCTGGATAATTAGCACAGACAATAATCAAAGCAATAAGTCCCAAGCACTGGGCAGATAGGTTCCCTGGTCAACGTTCATGGGGGGGCATGGGCGGCCCAGTCGTCTAAGGCGCCGCGATTCGCTGTGCAGAGTTGCGTCCCTTGGGCACGCCAGAAACCTATGATTGTGGGTTCAAATCCCGGTTCGCCCCGATTATGTTTCTAGGTTTGTCAGCACCATACCCGTGCTCGTGGGTTTCACCGAAGTGGTAAACGTCGGAGACTTGCATCACTTCGGGCTTTCCTCCCACATTAAGCTGACACGCCGCGATATAACTGGAATACTGTTAAAAAAGCGGCGTTAAACCCAACTCACTCACTCACTCACTCAACGTTCATGGCTGGCTGGAGTTTCCTGATGCAGTTTCTTCTTGTAGTTTTCTTTGTCACCAGTTGTTGGTAGACAGGACTTTGGAGGCTTCCAACATGATACTATGGTCTTGGTTCTTGAAGATGTGTTTGGAAATAGCGGATTTCAGGTCTAGTCTGTTGACAGAGTTCTGGTGTTGAGGGGTCTGAGGGTTTCTCCAATGTATTGGTGGTCACAGTTGCAGGGGATCTGGTATATACATCCTCTGCGCTGCTGGTGCCTCTGCCATTGGTCCGAGACTGTTAACTGTTCCATTTGTCCATTGCTAATCACCTATCAGCGCCAGTTAACAGTTGGCTTCCCTTGTGAAGTTTCCACCTCTATTATCTTATTACTTTGTTGTTCTTACTGGAAAATATATATGTTCTCTGCTTCATAGCATTAATTCACCTGATGAAATAGTTTATACTCCGAAACGTTGTGTTCCTCAAAATAAAGAAGCTGACCTTATTTCCCTTTCCCTTATGTTTCTTGAGATTGAGTCCACCGTATCATCTGCTTGTCTATGTTGAGGGGATAATAACATACAAATCTTGTTCTAATAAATATCAAAGTAAATGTACACCGGAAATACCATGCAATTCAGAAAAAACACTTACTACAACGTGAATGACAAATTGACAGCATTCTAAGAATATCATAGCATTATCCCTCCTAATTACCATGATTAATGGTGCCTCAAAACTTCATTCATACAAAAAATATAGAATATACAGTTTCTTGACATGTTGCCATGGTTTCTGCGATGCAATATCACACTGGCCATGCTGACAAGCTCTTGTAAATAAAAGGCTAACTAATGTACCTAATTCTGGTAAATATCTCACAATAAATCAAGCCATAATTCAAATCCTATGTGGGAAAAAATCTCACTTTGATGAATTTATCACAAATAGTCTCAATGACGTCAGTTCGCAGAATCTTTCATCTGTGAACTCTTAGTTCAAACACGCATGCTCTGCAAGTGCCATGAGGGAAGATTCCCCTAAAAATGTCTGCTGATAGATCTCAATCTTCAAGTGAGGTAGAGCGAGATTCACCAAATATATATCATGTTATATCCTAGCTGTTGATCATTAACAAATGTCTGCCAAAAGATGAAAACCTTAACGTACAGCAGTAAGGAGCAGATTTTAACCAAGAATGTACATCAAGATACATATGTTAAATCCTAAATGTTGTCCATCAGGAATTATCTGCTAAAGAAGTATAGCAGTAAGGATCTGGTTTTAAGTGAGAATGTATATCATAATTTATCATACCTCCATGACAGAATGATTAGATCTGATTAGTCCATGTCATCTTGATAAAATATTGTGTGTCCTGCCTTGGAGGGAAATAAATTTCATAGCGTTAAGAAATATCTTATACCCCGCCACGAGCAAGTAAGGCTGCACATGGATTTCTGAGATGCAGAATAAATACCTAATACCACACTTCCAAAGAAAAGCTGCATGCTTTTTCCAAGTCAAAGAAAGAAAGTTCACCTCAACTCAATCGAAAATTTGTTTTCTATCAATTTTGAATTTGTCTTAATTTATTTACAATGTCATATTATAACATGTCAGTAAAACAAATTTGTTGGAACAGAACCATTTGGGGTACATGTGGTTTTATGCGTCCCCCATCAGGTTTTATACCATGAATCGGAGGGATGCAAAAAAAACCATGTACCCCAAATGATCCTGCTACAAGTTATACTTTCTATCTTGTTTAATGCCGCACTCAGCAGTATTCCAGCTATATGACGGCGGTCTGTAAATATTCAAGTCTGGACCAGACAATCCAGTGATTGATAACATGAGCATCGATCTACGCAATTTGGATATGATGACATGCATCAACCAAGTCAGCGAGCCTGACCACCCGATCCTGTTAGTCTCCTCTTACGACAAGCATAGTCACCTTTTATGGCAAGCATGGGTTGCTGAAGACCTATTCCACCCCAGATCTTCACGGGTCCTACAAGTTATAATAGTATACATGTATATGTATTTGCGATGCATAAAACTGAGCCACAAGGCTCTGTACACAGGTCACATGAATCAGGAAGAAACAAGAAAACAGCATTATCACTATCCCATGGGACACATTAGAATTTTGATTGTTCATATAGTTGTGATCATAAACTATACAAAAAGTGTACTACAACCCAACAAACTGGGCCTCTGACCAGCGAGGAGACAACTGGAAAACCTTGTTGACAGCAAGGGGTAATCCCCCCTGAATCCTCGCATTTGAGTTGATGGTGCTTACTATAACCTTTCACCTTGCAAATTCATCTGCGTGTGTAAATGTGTATGCACAATTTTGTAGTTTGGTATAGAAGAAAATATGTGTTTGTATTAGATTTGTAACAATGAAATTCAGTTCATATATTTAACAGCAACAACCCTTATTTTTCAGGCAAATTGCATATAAAACAACAATTTTAAACTACTCCCTTGTCATCCAAGTTTCATGGTGTAACCCTCCACCTGTGTATTTGTCGTCATTCACTTGATGCTCAGTTAATGACTTTATTACAAGTATAATAAGTGGTAGAAGTACTCAGATTACCTGAAAATATCTCAATGATGTTCACAGCTGCCTGAGGGTGTCAAGGTAATAAATCACTCAGTGTTTCGCATTATCTCATGGGTAAGTGTTCAAACTATGATTCTGTTTTATATCCTTTGTATAGCCTCAGATGTACGGGATATAATTCCTTTATGTGGATATCTGCGGATATATTCCTTCAAACAAGGTATTATATATATATAACTTTTGTCAGTTGTAATTACAATATTTGCATTTTTTTCATAGATTTGCAGTAGCAAGAATTTAATGGCAATTTAATGGCCAATCATCATGTTTTGTGATAATCTATCTAAATTTCACATCATTACTGATCAAGGCTGTTATCACCTGTTCATTTAGGGAAGGGAGATAAAAATGAATTTAAGACACTATAGTGAGTGAGTGAGTTGGAATTAACGCCGCTTTTAACAATATTCCAGTTATATCACGGCGTGTCAGCTTAATGTGGGAGGAAAGCCCGAAGTGATGCAGGTCTCAGACGTTTACCACTTCGGTGAAACCCACGAGCACGGGTATGGTGCTGACAAACCTAGAAACATAATCGGAGCGAACCGGGATTCGAACCCACAATCATAGGTTTCTGGCGTGCCCAAGGGACGCAACTCTGCACAGCGAATCGCGGCGCCTTAGACGACTGGGCCACCCGTGCCCCCTTTAAGACACTATTAGAATGGAAGGATGGACAGAAGGATGGATGGAAGAATGGACAGAAGGATGGATGGAAGGATGGACAGGATGGATGGAAGGATGGACAGAAGGATGAATGAAAGGATTGCCCAAGATTATGAATGGAAGGATGGGCAGAAGGATGGATGGTTGGATGTTTAACACCGCACTCCGCAATATTCCAGCTATATGACAGCAGTCTGTAAATAATCGAGTCTGGACCAGACAATCCAGTGATTAATATCATGAGCATCAATCCACGCAATTGGGATATGATGACATGCATCAACCACGTCAGTGAGCCTGACCACCCGATCCTGTTAGTCGCCTCTTACGGCATTGCTGAAGACCTATTTACCCGGGATCTTCACAGGTCGAGCTGACAAGAGGTGTTCCATGCCTACCTGTAGTAATAAAGATCCATCTTGTATGGTAATCCGTATACAGAATTTCTGTCCAGCATCCCATCGAGATATTATGTGCACATCTTCTATTCCGGAATATGGTACTCCTAGTTCCATGAAGCCGTAAGGCTGAAACAAAACATGCAACATGATTATATCGTAATAATCTTACACTGCTCTTATGAAACTAGACTAACATCTAGTCTCTGATATGAAAATATTTACAGAAAAACATAGTTGTTGAAGTATCCTAATACAATACAAGGAACTCAGAGACTCTCTTTATATTCTTTACTCACTCACATGAATTTGGTATAGTCATATGTGAAAGATACAATTTATGGATAACAACTTCTTTAATACTGTAAATTTCCGTACAATGTCCCTCATTCAGTCTTGCTTGACAACAGTATAAGGATCTATACTGAAACATTGCTTTTTACAGTATTAAAGAAGTTGTTATCCATAAATTGTGTCTACTTTGTCATCCGTCAACTTATAAATAATTCCTATGAAACAATATGTGATAGTGGTCTCCATAAACATGAGTATTATATTGTGTTAATCAGATGCTGCTTTCTACATTTCAAGACTGCTGTATAACACGCCTCTGAGGTTTTGGTTGAAAATGTAAAACCAGGGTGGAGGGTTGCCAGGGGAAAGCCGAGGGCATGGGGGCTATTCCAATCCTGAAGACTTACATTTTCAGCTAAAGCCGAGGAGAAGTGTTTTCTCTTATATTCTGTTGAACAACATTTATTTATATTTCTTTAATATTTTCTTAAAAAGTGCATTACTACAGTCTGAAGAAAAGCCTTTAGAATCTGGCCAGGAAATATAGGCTAAACATGTTAGATTCTAATGGACCCAGAGCTCCAGATAAGCTGAGTATCTGCGTAAAATACGCATCAGAAAAGCAGAAATACACAGAAAAATAAAATCCAAGCGTATCAAATACGCAACGAACATTACAGATACGCTACAAAAATAAAACTTGTGCGTATCATCAAAATATTGTGAAGTAACCCTGCGTAATCGATAAGCAAATCAGCAACTTATTTTGACATTATAAACGGGCATTCCGTCAACCTTGCTAAACTCCACGATGACAGTTACATCATGATCATTTGCCATCACACTTTCTTGTGGAAGTATTGTGGTATTATTGAGTCTTATAAAGCTCTCGAACCCACACGACACCAGTTTGCAGGGACAAGATGAATAGTGTTTTTAAAAATTTAACTTAAATACCCACATGTGTAAAAACTAGTGGGTAACAGAAATTTGAATACCTAGATAGAATTACTGATACCCAATTTTAAAATGCATGGGTAAAATACCCACAACGCCAAAAGCTTATCTGGAGCTCTGGGACCACCTATTCTCAACCAGTTCTAATGGTTCAAGTTTCTGACTCCTGATCAGGAGGTTGTGGGTTCGATTTCCATCATCCATAATGAAAAAGTTTCAATTCTTGTCTTTAATTTTTAGAACATTGGACATTGGAAACACAAAGTCGAGTCTTCATCTTACTAGGAAAGCCTCAAAGCAGGGATGAAATCTTACTGGGAAAAAGTAAAACCTGATTCATGGTCTTACTGCCTGCCTGCAGAAAGAACAGTTTGGTTAAATGGCAAGCACCAGCATGTAGGTGTGTATATAGCATACACCATGTATCCATGCACACTGACACATTTCCCAGTGAAAGTGTGTGTATTTATACAAGCATTCTGCATTCAGCCTGGCAACACTGCCAGCCTGGTTACCCCGTCCCTGACCTCAGCAGATCAGAATCCCCGACATTTTATTCCCATTCTATCAGCTCAAGTAAATAAAGTGTCCCACATGACCAGAAGTGCTATACGCAGCTAACGTCTCAATAACTCCATCAAGGCGGTCCTGGGTTCAATTTGGCCTGCTTATTTCCAAGTTCTTCTGTTGCTGGTTTGACTGGGGTTCAGTTTGGTAGTGCTTAGATCAAAGTACTTATACTGGTCGGACCTGGGTTCAATTTCCCCTGGCGATTCCGGGTTAGATGTCCTCAGCAACATATGCTTGTCACACAAGGCAAGTTCCTGGACCTGGCGGTCAGGTTCACTGACTTGGTTGATAGCATGCCATTGAAACCCACTGACTTGGATCATTGCTCACAATATCAATCACATAATTTGCCTGGTCCTGATTTGTTTATTTAGAGACAGTCACCATATACCACAAATATTGCTTAGTTCAGCATTAAATAACAAAAAAGCCAATTTGGTAGTGCTTAATACAACTTTATAATGGTCCAGCCAGAGTAAAATGTCATGTGGCAAATATCCCAAACTCTGTTAGGCGGGTGGGGTGAAAACTGTCATTTGGCCAGAACCACTGTACTTAATATTGGATGCCTGGGATTATCTTGTCCTTATCTCAATACTCTTTACATGGTGGTCTTGGGTTAAATTGTCAATAGGCTAATATTTCAGTACCCTATACAATGTGGTCTTGGGTTAAATTGTCACTTGACTGGTCAGATCCCATACAGAGTGGTATACGGTCACATATCATCCCCATAACAACTGTTTAGCTGTTGCAGTGTGAACAAACACTGCAGGAGATTAGCTGCTGAGATATGCTTCAAGGACATGCCTTAATTGAAAACTTGATATATCCCTATATTCATAAACGTATATCCCAGACGATACAAATGATCTTGAGAATGACCAATTAGCTGATTGACATGAACAGTCATGACCTATGACCTCTCTCATCATGCTCATATATGAATCTGATTTAAACAAGTATTTGTCACAGAGTGACGAAATATCCCCCGCCATATACACCATAGTACCAAATATGAAGACAATCCAGCGATTAGTTCTTGAGATATTGTGGCAACACCGTTTTCCAACTCCAAAAACAGATTTGCCTGCTGTGACCTTGAAAATGGGGTCAAGGTCACCAAATCTGACAGGTGTATGCGGTGTCTGTATATACACCATAGTTCCAAATATGAAGACAATCCAGTGTTTAGTTCTTGAGATATCGCGGCAACACCGTTTTCCAACTCCAAAAGCAGATTTGCCTGCTGTGACCATGAAAATGGGGTCAAGGTCACCAAAACCGACTGGTGTCTGTGGTGTCTGTATATACACCATAGTTCCAAATATGAAGACAATCGAGAGGTTTAGTTCTTGAGATATCGCAGCAACACCGTTTTCCAACTCTAAAAGCAGATTTGTCTGCTGTGACCTTGAAAATGGGATCAAGGTCACCAAAACCGACTGGTGTCTGCGGAGTCTGTATATACACTATAGTTCCAAATATGAAGACAATCCAGTGTTTAGTTCTTGAGATATCGCGGCAACACCGTTTTCCAACTCCAAAAGCAGATTTGCCTGCTGTGACCTTGAAAATGGGGTCAAGGTCACCAAAACCGACTGGTGTCTGCGGTGTCTGTATATACACCATAGTTCCAAATATGAAGACAATCCAGTGTTTAGTTCTTGAGATATCGCGGCAACACCGTTTTCCAACTCCAAAAGCAGATTTGCCTGCTGTGACCATGAAAATGGGGTCAAGGTCACCAAAACCGACTGGTGTCTGTGGTGTCTGTATATACACCATAGTTCCAAATATGAAGACAATCGAGAGGTTTAGTTCTTGAGATATCGCAGCAACACCGTTTTCCAACTCTAAAAGCAGATTTGTCTGCTGTGACCTTGAAAATGGGATCAAGGTCACCAAAACCGACTGGTGTCTGCGGAGTCTGTATATACACTATAGTTCCAAATATGAAGACAATCCAGTGTTTAGTTCTTGAGATATCGCGGCAACACCGTTTTCCAACTCCAAAAGCAGATTTGCCTGCTGTGACCTTGAAAATGGGGTCAAGGTCACCAAAACCGACTGGTGTCTGCGGTGTCTGTATATACACCATAGTTCCAAATATGAAGACAATCCAGTGTTTAGTTCTTGAGATATCGCGGCAACACCGTTTTCCAACTCTAAAAGCAGATTTGTCTGCTGTGACCTTGAAAATGGGATCAAGGTCACCAAAACCGACTGGTGTCTGCGGAGTCTGTATATACACCATAGTTCCAAATATGAAGACAATCCAGTGTTTAGTTCTTGAGATATCGCGGCAACACCGTTTTCCAACTCTAAAAGCAGATTTGTCTGCTGTGACCTTGAAAATGGGATCAAGGTCACCAAAACCGACTGGTGTCTGCGGAGTCTGTATATACACCATAGTTCCAAATATGAAGACAATCCAGTGTTTAGTTCTTGAGATATCGCGGCAACAAACAGGTGGGACGTACGGACGGACGTACGGACGGACGTACGGATGGTCGTGAATACTATATCCCCCGCTTCGCGCTTTCGCGCGGCGGGGGATAATAATTCAGTTAATGTGAAAGTTGTTCCCCAGAAATCCACGTCAAGGAAGTGATAGTCTAAGGCAATTTGTGTATGTAACAAACTGCCAAGAAAGTGAAAAGCTTCTATTATATATACATGCATAAAAATATATATATATATAATCTTACCTACCTATCCTTCTGATCATGTTTAGGCATCCTACATGAAATACATTTTTTCTTTGCTTTGCCTTCCCTTTCACATCCTTATATCAAGCTATTGTGAATCAATTCTATTTATTAGTTAGTGAGTGAGTGAGTTCCGTTTAACAATGCTTTTAAAATTATTGCAGTTATATTACGCAGTGTCAGCTTAGTGTTGGAGGAAAGCCTGAAGTGATGCAGGTCTCGGACGTTTACCACTTCGTTGAAACCCACGAGCACGGGTATGGTGCTGACAAACCTAGAAAAGTAATCGGGGCGACCGGGATCCGAACCCACAATCATAGGTTTCTGGTTCTATTTATTAAGTCTAAAACATCAATGTTATTGTCCAAAAACAGCTTACACTTACAGCAAGGCCAAGTGATCTTTAACTTCTCAAAGGTTAAATATGTAGACTGTTTGTTGAACTGGACCTGACTTCTGACAAGGACAACCAATAAACCACATTTGGTTAAGATCAACCTTTACCTGTTGATGTTAGAATCTCCGCCTCCATCAGTAAGTGATCTCAGTGCTGCCAGTGTGGTAACTACCACATTCTAATATTACCTTACAAGAGAC